ACAATGGGTGCAGAAGGAAGGGAGAGGTAGAATGGAGTTAATTATTTCACATGAAGAGGCACCAAAGATTTATTACAGTGGAGAGGAAAATGGGAGGGTGGGTGAGGAGCATTGCTTGAACCTAACTCTCATTAATGTTGGCTCAAAGAGGGAATAATATACACAATCAGTTGAATATATCTTATCCGACAGGGAAGTAGGAGGGGAAGAGAACAAGTAAAAGAGAGGGCAGATCAAGGGAGGTAGTAGACAGAAGCAAAACACTGGTGAGGAGGGAAAGGATGAAAGGAGAGAAAGGACAAACAAGAAGAGGAATAGGATGGAGGGAAATACACAGTTAGTAATCATAACTGTGAATGTGAATGGGATGAACTCTCCCACAAAACAGAAGCGGATAGCAAAGTGGATCAAAAACCAGAATCTTAGAATATATTGTTTACAGGAAACACAGAGCAGAATCTATTATGCTTCAGCTGAAGTTAAAAAAAAAATAACAGGAGTAGCAACCCTGATCTCAGACAAAGTAAAAGCAAAAATAGACCTAATTAAAAGAGATAAGGAAGGAAACTACATTTTGCTAAAAAGTGCCGTATACAATAAAGCAATATTAATACTAAACATACATACACCACGTGGTACAGCATCCAAATTCTTAAAAGAGAAGTTAAGTGAGTTACAGGAAGAAATAGACAGCAAAACTATACTAGTGGGTGATCTCAACTGTCCTCTCTCAGAACTCAATAAATCCAACCAAAAAACTAAACAAGAAAGAAACTAAGGAGGTAAATAGAATATTAGAAAAGTTAGATATGACAGACCTTTCGAGAAAACAGAATGGGAACAGAAATACACCTTTTTCTCAGCAGCAAATGGCATCTACACAAAAATTGACCATGTAATAGGACATAAAAACCTCAAAATCAAATAGGCAGAAGTAGTAAATATATTCTATTCAGATCATAATGCAATTAAAAATTACATTCAAAAAAGGACAGTGTAAATATAGATTAAAATTAAGGGCAGCTAGGTGGCACAGTGAATAGAGAACTGGCCCTGAAGTCAGGAGGACCTGAGTTCAAATCTGGCCTCAGACCAAACACTTGACACTTACTAGCAGTGTGACCCTGGGCAAGTCACTTTACCCCAATTGCCTAAAAAAAAAAATAATTGGAAACTAAATAATCTAATCCTAAAAAATCAGTGGGTCAAAGAACAAATGATAGAAACAATCAAAAATTTAATTAAAGAGAATTACAACAATGAGATGACATAGAAAAATTTATGGGATGCAGCCAAAGCAGTACTTAGGGGAAAATATATTTCTCTAAATTCTTAGAGAAAAAAAAATGGAAAAAGAACAGATCAATGAATTGGTCATACAACTAAAAAAAATAGGAAAAGAACAAATTAAAAATCCCCGATTGAGCACCAAATTGGAAATCCTGAAAATCAAAGGTGAGATTAATAAGAATGAAAGTAAGAAAAATATTGAGCTAATAAATAAATCTAGGAGCTGTTTTATGAAAAAACCAGTAAGATAGATAAGCCATTGGTCAATTTGATTAAAAATAAGAAAGATGAAAATCAAATATTCATTACCAACAATGAAGAAGAAATTAAAGCAATCATTAGGAAATACTTTGTGCAATTATATGCCAGTAAATTATATGCTCAGACAATCTGAGCAAAATGGATGAATATTTCCAAAAATATAAATTACCCAGATTAACAGATCAGGAAATAAAATGCCTAAATAACCCCATCTTAGAAAAAGAAATTGAACAAGCCATTAATGAACTCCCTAGGAAAAAAATCCCCAGGGCCAGATGGGTTCACAAGTTCTTAAACATGTAAAGAACAATTAATTCCAATACTATATAAACTAACTAGGTGGAATCCTACCAAACTCCTTTTATGACACAAATATGGTGCTGATATCTAAATCAGGAAGAGCTAAAACAGAGAAAGAAAATTATAGACCAATTTTCCTAATGGATATTGAAGCAAAAATTTTAAACAAAATACTAGCAAGGGCAATTACAGCAATATATCACAAGGATTATATACTATGACTATGTGGGATTTCTACCAGGAATGCAGGGTTGGTTCAATATTAGGAAAGCTATTAATATAATTGACCATATCAATAACAAAACCAACAGATATCATATGATTATCTCAACAGATGCTGAAAAAGCTTTTGACAAAATACACCACCCATTCCTATTAAAAATACTAGAGAACATAGGAATAAAGGGAGTGTTCCTTAAAATGATAAGCAGTATCTGTCTAAAACCATCAACAAGCATTATAAGACAAATGAGAAGCCTTCCCAATAAGATCAGGGGTGAAGAAAGGATGTCTATTATCACCACTGGTATTCAATCTAGTACTAAAAATGTTAGCTGTAGCATTAAGAGAAGTAAAAGAAATTGAAGAAATTAGAATAGGCAGTGAGAAAACAAAACTATCGCTCTTTGCAGATGATATGATGGCATACTAAGATAACCCTAGAGAATCAACTAAAAAAGTTACTTGAAATAATAACAACTTTAGCAAAGTTGCAAGGTATAAGATAAACCCAAATCATCAGCATTTCTTTATATGACCAATAAAACACAGCAGCAAGAGACAGAAAGAGAAATTCCATTTCAAATAACTGTAAACAATATAAAGTACTTAGGAGTCTACCTGCCAAGACAAACTATATGAACACAATTACAAAACACTTTTCACGCAAATAAAGTCAGATCTCAACAACTGAAAACTATCAGTTGCTTATGGGTAGGTCAAGCCAATATAATAAAAATGGCAATTCTGACTAAACTGATTTACTTATTCAGTGCCATGCCAATCAAACTACCAAAATATTGTTTTATAAAGCTAGAAAAAAGAAAAACAAAATTCATCTGGAAGAACAAAAGATCAAAAATATCAAGGGACTTAATGAAAAAAAAATTCCAAAGAAAGGAGGCCTATCAATACAAAATCTCAAACTATATTATAAAGCATAATCATCAAAACTATCTTGTACCAGCTAAGAATTGGAGTGGTGGATCAGTAGAATAGATTAGGTACACAAGACACAGCAGTCAATGACCATAGTAGTGTAGTGTTTGACAAACTCAAAGATGCCAGCTTTTGGGATAAGAACTCCATATTTAACAAAAACTGCTGAGAAAACTGGAAAAAATAGGACACAAACTAAGTATAGCCTAACATCTCACACCACATATGAAGATAAGGTCAAAATGCGTGCATGATTTAGACATAAAGGGTGACACTATAAGCAAATTAGAAGACCAAGGCATAGTCTACCTGTCAGATCTATGGAAAAGGGAAGAATTCATGATCAAACAGGAGACAGAGAGGATTACAAAATGTAAAAGAGGTCATTTTGATTATATTAAATTTAAAAAGCTTTTGTACAAAAAAACCAATGCAACCAAGATTAGAAGGAAAGCAGAAAGCTGGGAAACAATCTTTACAATAAGTGTCACTGACAAAGGCCTCATTCCTCCAAATATATAGAGAACTGAATCAAATTTATAAGAATACAAATCATCCCTCAATTGATAAATGGTCAAAGGATATGAACATGCAGTTTTCAGATGAAGAAATCAAAGTTATCTATAGTCATGTGAAGAAGCATTCTAAATCATTTTTGATTAGAGAAATGCAAATTAAAACAACTGTATCCGATTTGCTAATATGACAAAAAAGGAAAGTGATAAATGTTGGAGAGGATGTGGGAAAATTGGGATACTGATGTACTGTTGGTGGAGTTGTGAAGTGATCCAAATATTGTGGAGAGCAATTTGGAACTGTGCAAACCCTTTGATCCAGTAATAGCACTACTAGATCCATATCCCAAAGAGATCATAAGAAAGGAGAAAAGACCTACATGTGTGAAAATATTTATAGCAGCCTTTTTCATGGTGGCAAAATATTGGAAATTGAGGGAATGCCCATCAATTGCGGAATGGCTGAACAAGCTATGGTATATGAATGTAATAGAATACTATTATGCAATAAGAAATGATGAACAAGCAGATTTCAGAAAATCCTGGTAAGACTTGTACAAATTGAGGCAAAATGAAATGAGCAGAACTAGGAAACATTATGCACAATATCAGCAACATTGCGTGATGATCAACTGTGAACGACTTGGCTCTTTTCAGCAGTACAATGATCCAAGACAAATACAAAGGACTCCCAAAGGAAAATGCTCTCCACATCCAGATAAAGAACTGATGGTTACTGAATGCAGATCAAAGCACATTTTTTTTCACTTTGTTCTTTCTCATGGGTTTTTAAAAATCTGTTTCTTCTTTCACAACTATGACTAATATGGAAATAATTTTTACATGATAGTACATATATAAACTATATCAAACTTTCTACCATTTTCAGTAGAGGGGAGGGGAGGGAGAAGGGGAGGGAGGGATGGAGAACAATTTGGAACTAAAAATCTTACAAAAATGAATGCTGGGGCAGATAGGTGGCACAGTGGATAGAGCACTGGCCCTGAAGTCAGGAGGACCTGAGTTCAAATCCGAACTCAGACCAAACACTTGACACTTACTAGCTGTGTGACCCTGGACAAGTCACTTAACCCCAATTGCCTAAAAAAAAGAATGCTAAAAATTTTCTTGACATGTAAATGGGGAAAAAATAAAATACTATAAAAAATGTAGCAATATACTCTTTAAATTTTTTAAAAGATTTCCTAGCTTCCGTTGATAAAATAAAATAATATCATGTAATAAATCCTTTATTTAGTCGAAAAATAAGCTCTGAGTGGATCAGAGTCAAGCTTAGTTTTTTAAAATGATGACCATTAATCAAAATATCTCCCAGGTTATACTATCTTAGGTCCTTTACAATCAGGAATTTCCTTCTGATCTCCAACATCAACCTTCTGTTCACCACCAGCCATATCACAGCCCTTTATTCTTCTTCATACTTTTGGTTTGACATTTAGAACATTTCCAACTTACCAGAGCTTCCCAAAATCCCCAGGATCTGCCCACTCTCAACATACAAAGAGATGTCTTTGAGGATCTCTCTGGTCCATTTTTTCCAATATGAACCAATGTCCCACCAAGGGCCAAAACGCTCCCTTGAAAGGAAACAATGTTGGGGTCAACATAGCACTGAGAACCAGCAAAAAGATACCTCTAATTTTTCAATTTCCATTCATTATCTTAGAAGCATCTTCCCTCCTGTAGCACATCCAATTTGGTCCCTCCCCCAAACCCTGCCCATTATACATTTGGCCCTTTGTTTTGTGTATATACGTAGCCTTCCAAATCTTGGCCCAGCACAGAAAGTTAGGCTTTGAGTGGGCAGAGACTGGCTCAGGTTGGAGCAGAATGGGAGAGGAAGGAACATCACTGGCCGCTTCCAGCCAGCCCAGGCTTTGGTAACAAGTTCTCTTCTAGAGGAGGTGGAGTCTGGAGGGAAAATGGAAGTGCAAATAGAGCCAGCAGAGTCTCCCTATTTAGGGAGGAACTATTGGCTTGTCGCCTCCACATACCCTGGCTACCAGCCACCTACTTTATAACATCACTGTCAACAGCCCAGAGCCTAGAGACTGGGCAATGGAAGTAGGAATGGAACCCAGCATTTCCTTTGCTTCTCTGTCACATTCTCACTCCTACACCATGGACTCCTATCATATCCTTAGTGGGTCCACCCAAGGGGATAGCCAAGGAAAGTCTCAGCTGGAAGAAGTAAAGAAAGGAAGAGCAGGGCAGCTAGGTGGTGTAGTGGCTACAATTCCGGCCTTGGAATCAGGAGGATAGGTCCAAATCCAGCCTCAGACACTTGACACTTACTAGCTGTACTAGCTGTGTGACCCTGGGCAAGTCACTTAACCCCGATTACCAAAGCAAAAAAAACAAAAAAAGGAAGAGCGGGCCTCCATTTATCCCTTACCTGATAGTATAGGAAACCTGGTGAATGCTTAGCTTGTGGCGAGGTGGCATGGATGACAAATCAGCTGGTTCCTCTGGAGGGTCCTGGCAGTTTCCCCAATTCTCATTCCCTATGCCCCTCATGGCTGTCAAAAGTTGGTGCTTCATCACTAATCAGGCAATGAAGACTGGTAGTTTCTGAGGTAGCCTTCTGCTGGTAAGCAAATATAGCAAAAATAGCAACAACCAGGTCACAGAATACCTTGTCAGGCTCACAAAATGCCAATGAAGAGGAAGCCAGAGGCAACCTGTTTTCTCACAATCAGTCTCACCAACTAGAGTAAGGGGGAGCATGGGCCTGGCCAGAGTTTTCTTAATCAGATGTACCTTTAGCCAGGAAATTGTCCTTATCTCTAGAATGGAAGAAAATGCCTGTGTGTGCTAGTACTCTGCCCCCTGAAACATTTGGATAGCACAGGGCAAGAGGAGGTAGAATCAGGGCCAGCCGGATTCAAGCAAGAGAGAGGGGAGACACCCATGCTGAAGGGTAGCCATCCCATCCAAGAATCATAAGACAGGAGGAAAGAGAAGAAGGTGCCACCCAGCCCTGTGAGGCACCATGATTGAAAACCTCCACCTACAGAGTGATATGAAGAATCTCTCTAGAGAGCAGGATCTCTCGGTAAGTGAAGTCTTGAACAGATATGTCTGCCTGCTTAGAGTCTCAGAGAGTTTAAACTGAGCATATCAACAAGACAGCTAGCCTCCCCAGCTGGAGCAATTCTGCTGTCCTTGAGTCCCTAGGAAAGTGGTATTTGATCATACCATCAAACTCCTGTGTGGCAACACAGGAATGAAAGGTGGCTGAAGAGAACTCTGGAGTTGGTTTAAAGAGTGGGCTGGGTGACTCTCGGGTCATGCTTGGACATTCTCTGAGCCTGCCCCGGCCAGGGCAACTATGAATGAGTGGGTGATGACTGTTTTGTGCTTGTATTAGTAGCCAGAGGAATGAGAGCTGATATAGGAATCCTCCACCCAAACATCCCTGGTTTTGTTTGATGATGCTTTGGAAGCAAAAGTGACCATCAGACTGGGAAATGTACTGGAGAGTAAGACTATGGATTAACATAAAGAAAAGGGCTTTTGCTGGATCAATTTCAAAATGATGATCAGTCTTAAAATGTCTCCTATAGCTCACAGGCGGATCAAAGAGAAAGGGAAAGTTCAGAACATGGGACTTGTTTTCAAAAAGGAGAAGAGAGGAAACAGGAAGCAATTATCCACCCAAATTGTGTCACTTTTTTTTTTTCGGGCCGGTATACAAAGGCCTGATCTTATACTTCTCTTTTTGGATGTGGAAGAGACTAAACGTGAACAAGGATAGGAATTAGAGGGACTTGGACTACCACCACCCTCAGCATTTGGAGAAAGAGGGAGGGGCTTAGCACCAAAGGACCCATGTAACTGTTAATTAATAATAATAATAATAGCAGCTAGCATTTATAGAGTACTTTAAGGTTTTCAAAGCACTTAACAAATGTGATCTCAGCTATTTTTATCCCCATTTTATAGATAAGGAAATTGAGGCAGATGGGATTAAGTGACTTGCCCAGGATTATGCAACTATTAAGTGTCTCAGGTCAGATTTGAACTCAGGTCTTCCTAACTCTATCTCTGACACCCTATCCACCATACTACCTAGGCCCCATAGGATCATATACCTAGAACTCAGAGGGACCTCTGAAGCCATCTTGTACAACCCTCACTACCTCCCCCACTTCGCTTTTTTTTTCTGAGGATGAGGAAACTGAGGCCCAAGGAGCTTAAAGGACTTACCCAAGGTTACGTAGGTGGTGAGCATCAGAAATGGGATTTGAACTCATGTTCGCTAACTATGGAAAGAGTGACCACTCTTCTCATAGTACTAGGTTGCCTCTTCCTCTACTGCACCTTTCTTTGCAAAGCCTGAAATTGTAGCTAGAACAAGACTTATGAATCCAGAAACAAATGATGAGGCTTCGGAGACTTTCAGCCTTTAGAGACCCTAATAGTGCAAACCCATCACCTTCGGGGCAAGGGGGCTGGTCTGACGTCGGCATCTGGGCCGCTGGATGGGCACTGCCATTTCTAGCCTCCTTTTCTCTATGGAAAGTCCTTGGAGGAAGCCCTTTGGTGCCAGTGGGAAGAACACCAGACTGAAAATCGTAAAACACTATGGTTTGAGTTCCAGCTTGTCCCCTCCATGTATGATCTTCAACAAGGCCCCCAGCCTCTATGGTTCTTCATCTATAAAATGAGGGGTTTGGAATGCATGATGTGGACCATATGGCCAAGGGAGAATGGAACCTAGGGTGGGAAGTGGCTGGGGGCCATAGGGAGGTAAAATAGCCAGCTAAGCTAGGTTAAGGGTAACAGAGAATTGGGAAATTGGATTTAGGTGATAGCAAAAGGCCAGTTGATGGGATTATAGCCTATGAGGAAAGTCCAGGGCTTTTCCTTTTTGGGGTCCAGATCCCATCCTCATCAGTTGAGTGACTGGTGGAAGAAACTTCCAAATCTATGGAATCACACATCAGTTTGAATGTTTGAGAGATTCATCTTCTTTGTTTCAATATTTACAAATTTTACTGAATCTCTAAATTCATAAAACAAGACTGATGATTGAAGCAACCAATAGGAGGAATATTGAAAAAAAGGTATGAGAGAGATTGCATGGCTTATTAGATTGCAAACTGGCCTCAGAGCTGTAGAGACATGGGTCCAAATCCTCCTAATACATAGTGAATTGTGACACTGGTCAAGTCCCCTTAACCTTTCAGCGCTCCAAGGTGTAGCACATCTAGCGGTGCTAGGAACCCTGAAATGCAAGTGTACAGGGCATGAGTCTGCCTTGAAAGAATTCCAGTCAAAGTAGCAAGTTTATTTGTGACACCAACACAAGAGGCCAGACTCCTAGTGAATTTGCTGGTTTGATAGGGACAAGACTGATTCTTTTTTTTTATATATGGAAAAAGATTTTGGGAAGATTTGGATTGGATTAAGGAACGGCAAGTAGCCTGGGGTGATTCACAGGTAACTGAGATGGGGTCTGGATTGGAATAAGGAGTGTTAAGTAAGCTAATTAAGTGATCAAGGTCTGCTGGGGTTGGGACAGATGCCTTGGGTGGAGGCATAGGTGACTGAAATGTATGGGAAAATTCAGGGACTGGGTCTGAGGTAACAGAGAATGAAAGGCTGGCCTGGGTCAGGGCCACAATGAAAGGACGGTTGAAAGTGATGTGGATACATAGGGTACCCTAGGATTAAAAATAATATTAACTGTTACTTTCCCAGGCCCCTGAGGGGGTTTGAGGCTCATTCTGGTAGCCCATCCTATACCTTGAGATCCTGGAACTTGAGAATTTCTCAAGTCATTTTCTCCTTATCTTGAAACACCATACAACTTGTACTAAAAGAATTGCCTTTGTCTCCCTTATCCTGTTTCTTATCTTGTCATTCATCTTCCCCATCCTGTGTCAGTTTTTCCTTATCTAGTTTGTTCTTATCCGATCCCTAATCTCCAACCCCCATAAGAAACCCTAAAAATACATCATCATCCTATAGGCTGTATAACTTTCTGTCTATATAAACCTCGGTCTTGTCCTATATCAGGGCCTTTGTTTAGCTGCTTGCTAACTTCAGGCCTGTGAAGCTTTCAGAAATAAAGCTCCCAATGGTTACAGAGAAGGTCAAAGTGAATTCTTTCACACCTGAATCAGCTCTCCCTACTCTAACCCTCAACAAAAGGATTATTGACTGGGATGGACCAGATGCCTCAAGTGAACCTGGGTTCCTGAAATCTGTGGGAAAGTTCAAGGTGGGGAGGGTGTCCAGATTCCATACCCTGTCACGAGGAACTCTCTAAGACTCAAGTTCCAGAACAAGTGCTGGGTGATACAGCTTCCTATATCAATGAAACTACAGGTTCAGGTCAGAAAACAAAAGCAAAATAAAAACCAAAAAACCCAACCCAATGGAAAATGGAGAATACAACAATAATAAGACCATTGATCTTGAATGCTACGTAATTCTCATGAATAAGCGTGGATCCAAAGAAGAGACAAGAGAATTCACCTGTCCCCCTGTCTCTGTTTTTTGCAAAGGTGGAGGACTGTGAGGGTGGAATGCTGTACATAATGGCATGCTTCTCCTTGTGTTGGTTAATTTTGCTGAATTACTTTCTCCCCCCCCTTCCCCACCTTATCTATTCTTTGTTATAAGGAATGACTCTCTGAGAAGGGAAGATGGAAAAGGATACTCTGGCAAATGTAGATGATTATAAACACTAAATATATTGATAAAAATACATTTTTAAAATAGAAGAAGAGACTGAGATAAAGACAAAAACACTTATTGCGTTCTAGACTCTATTTGGAATAAATGCAAATATTTCACCATGAGGTATTTGCTTGTCAAAGGATGCCAAAACAAATAAACACAAACCCTCCAAAAACCTTTACCCCTTGACCCCAAACATTACACTTGCCAACATTCTCTCCACATACAGGTTCGCTGGTTATCTCCTGGAAAAGTGCTTAAAAGACGTTGAACTGAAAGATGTTATGCATTTTTCTTTTCCAAAGATGAGTTTCAAATTTGCTGACCTTTTCTATGATGACAAGTGGCTGTCAGTAGTATGCTACCTACAAAATATTATAAAAAGAAAAAGAAAATAACACATTCAATCCCTTCAAAGGAAAGAAGATGTTAAAAAAGATCCAAAAAACAACTTTCATTTCTACATCACCTTTATTTCCTAATATATTCCTCTCTCCTCTCCTACTCAGAGAGCCATCTTTTATAATAAAGAAGAAAAAAGAACAATTTAGAAAAACTAACCAACCCATGAATCAAGTCTGACAATATGTGTAGTGATCCATATCCTTAGTTCCCCACCTCTGCAAAGAAAGGAGAGAAATGGATGCTTAATTCTTCTTCAGGAGAAGTTAGCCATTACCATTATATCGTATTCAGTGTAAATGTTGTTGATGTTCTTTCCATTAACGTTGCTGTGGTTATTGCATTTATTGTTTTCCTGGTTCCATTTACTTTGTGTTGGTTCATAAAAATGAACTGCTTCTCTGGATTCCTCCCATTTACAATTTCTTATAGTGCCATATTCTGTTGTCACAATTATGTAAAAATAATAATAATAATAATGATTGTTGTCTCATTTGATTCTAGCAATAGCCTTGTGAGGTTGGTACTATTATTATCCCCATTTTACAGATCTGTTTAGCCATTTTCCTGCTTGGTATATACAACAAAATATTTATAGAAGCAAAGAACTGGAAATAAAGTAAATGCCCATTGATTGAGGGATGGCTAGACAAATTGTGGTACACAAATGTAATAGAATCTTACCATATTGCAAGAAACGATGGTGGCAATGATTATAGAAGCCTGGGAACATTTACATGAAAGAAGGAAGAATGAAGTAAGCAGAAAGCCACAAAGATAATGTACATGATGATGCCAACAAAATAAAGAACAACCACTACAAAGCAATGGAAGAAAAATGTTGCAAAATAGGAAAGAACATGCTTGGCCTCTGAGAAGAGATAGGAAGAGATATCTCCCCGAACTCCTTTGCAGAGGGGAAAAGAAGCTCATGAGTGTGAAATGTTCCATATACTGTCAGATTTTTTGAGGTTTTAATCAATTTCATTGGCTTTTTTTCTTCCTATTTTTTTTCCTTTTAAAAAATTGTTATAAGGATACAGAAGGAAATCCAGGTGACTTAAAAACACATTATATTGATAAAAATCATTTAAGTAATAATAGCTAACATTTAGTTGCACTTCAAAGGTTGTAGAACACTTCACAAATATTCTCATTTGAGCCTCACAACTATCCTGTGAGATAAATGCTACAGCCTCATCCCCATTTAACAGATCTGTTTAACCGCATCCAACTGATGGCATCCAGTTCTTTCTTTCCAGTTCAGTTACTACAAAAAGTGCTGCTATGAATATTTTGACAGATATTTTATCTGTCTTAATATATTTCCCAATTGCTTTCCAGAATGGTTTGGACCAATTCCCAGCTTTCCCAGAAGTCTCTCAGTATACCACTTCTCCCACTTCTCCTATGTTGGCTATTTCCATCTTTGGTCATCTTTGCCAGTTTGTGAAACATCATAGTTGTTTTGATTTGGATTTCCTGTATTATTAGTAATTTGGAGCAATCTGTCATATGGGTTTTTAATAGTTTTCAATTCTTTTGAGAACTGTTCACATCATTTGACCACTTATCCATTAGGGAATAGCTTTTGGTTTCATAGATATGTGTTAGTTCTATATGTATCTTGGACATGAATGAATGAATGAATGAATAACATCTTATCAAGTGCTTGCTATCTGCCAAGCACTGTATTAAACTGGGTGCATAAAAGTATAAAAGCAAGACACTCCCTCCCTGTAAGTAGCCTATATTTGAAGAGAGGAGACAACACATACATGAGAGTGGTGGCCAGGAAAGAGAATTCTAATCTGGAAAGTCACAAAGATGGCAAGTGGGATAGTAGGTCAGCCCACTGATGGGACCTTTTCAGAGGCAATGGTAGCACTGAATTGATTATCATTCTCAGAGCAAGAGGTGGAAGGTAGGCAAGTAGGTACCAACTAACTAGTGAAAAGGAAGCGGCATGGTCCTGGAGAATGCCTAGCCTGTTGTCTCAGCTCCTCTTAGTCAGGGTCTCTGGAGGTCCAGTTTGGAGAGTGGAGATGTAGCAGGGGGATATCTGGCAAAGGTGAGATACTAACAATTAGTAAGAAGGTAACTGCTTTTAGAGGGAAAATGTACTATGGAGAGAGTATTTTGAAAATGTTTATTTGGAAAGGTTTCCTTTGATATGTTATTTTGTTGCTGAAAATGATGTTTGTTACCTATAAAACTCTTATTTACACACTTTTAAAACTTGGAGGTTGAATTTTTTTTAAAAAATCTTCCAAATGAGGCATTTCGATAGACTATGAACCCATTTGGTAAAAATATAAAAAAGCAACACTTTTAGATTAATTTGCATAAATAATTGATTGACATCAGGGAAGATGGAAATTTACTAGTCAAATTTCAGTGCAAACCTGTGCTTTATTGGTGCATGGGATTGAAAAATGAGAATCAAGATTTAGTAAGCTCAGCTACCAATTCAGTTCTTTTACTTAGAGCTGCATGTCTTTGTGAAGTGTCTTTTTCAACTGACAGTCACTAAAAACATGTGTTGAAATAAACTGAATTTAAATTCACATACATGCATATAATTTATAAATAAATATTCACAAATCTAGGGTATGTGCTCAAAACATATTTTACTGGTGCTTGATTAAAAGTGCATGATTAAAAACGTTTGGAGATTGATGCTGTAGCAAATGCTTTAGTGACCTCACCCCAGTACATCCCTCAGTGCCTGGAGTCTTCTCACCCTAGGCTATCCCTTTGGTCCTACTGGTCTCCTCCCAGTGGTGAGTTCCTTCTGGGCCCTCCAACATTGGGGATGGGCTCAAGCTGCCTGCACCTCATTTCCTTCTTGACTACACTTATGACTCTAAAGACTTTCCCATCATGCACTTGGGTACCTCTTCTCCTCTGCTTTTCAGCTCCTACTTACATGTTGTCTTCCCCCCATTAGAATGTAAGCTCTTTGAGGGCAGGGCCTATTATTGCTTTTGCTGCAGTGATTCAAACAGTACCTGGCACACTGTTGTTCAGTTGTGTCCAACTCTCCTTGACCCCCTTTGGGATTTTCTTGGCAAAGATACTGGAGTGGTTTGCCATTTCCTTCTCCAGCTCATTTGATAGATGAAGAAACTGAGGCAAACAGGATTAAGTGACTTGCCCAGAGTCACATAGCCAGTAAGTTTCTGATGCAAGATTTGAACTCAGGTCTTCCTGACTCTAGGTCTGATGCTCTATCCACTGTGCCACATAGCTGCCTGCCTGGCACATAGTAAGTCCCTAACAAATGTTTGTTACTTACCTAACTGCCAGTGTGAAAAACAGCTACTCTTGTATTTTTTGAGTATCATTCCTTACCCCAAGCTTGGAGATTTGATTAGAAGTTAAGAATCACAGTACAATAAGTACGGAACTTGTTACCTGCAAATAAATTTACTTTTGCTTGTCTCTCATGTCACACGTCAGTAATTCAAGAGACATTCTGACAGCCATGCTGATTAAGATGTCAGTAGAATAGATATTTTAGTATTTTAGGAATACAGATAATTTGTCAAAACCTCAGGAATGAACCCTAGGCAAGTACAGATTGGAGTAGAAGCAATTCCCATCTTATACAAAGGTTGTATCTAAAAGATGGTTGTTTAGGAACTGACAATCATTTCCCCGTGGAAACCAGAGCATAAAGGATAGCTAGATTTCCAGGCCAGCTCACAAAAGTTTATCTAGCCCACAATGCAGCTTAATTCTAATATTAATAAGACTAGCCTGGGTTGTGGGTCCTGGAAGCAGGGTACTATACTGTGCAGGAAGGAGGAAAAGGACAAGAAATTTCTTCCCCATTTCCTAGATTTGGGGCCAGGCATAGAAAAAAAATGTGAATTTTTTTTTTTTGTCTGGCATCCTCCCACTTACCTTTCCATGTTCCTCTCCTCCCTACTGCCTCCACTATAGGGCCCTCATACTGTCCTAAATCCCCAAATTCAGCCCCCATCCAGGCCTGCCTAACCTCCCTTCCAAAATGTCTTGTACCAAAATGTCTTACCTCCCTTCCAATTACTACAATTCTCTCAGTACAGATAATCCCAGCTTGGTATTAAGAGAGAAGGAATCTGATAGAACTTCAAAATTTCTTTCTCTGACCATAATCTTTTATTATTCCATCTTTCTTTATGCCTTACAACTACCAATTCTGTTCTTTGCCCTCATTGTGATTCTCCTCCTCAGTACTTTCCTTGGCTACCATCCCTACACTGGCTCCTCCCTCCTCCTCTCCTCCTCTTGATTCCTTGGAGAAACCAGTTCAACTCTCAAATCGCTTTCCCCCTTGTTTTATCTCTTTTGCTTCTATTCCAATGGAGTGAAACAAGGCTGTGTGCTTGCTCCCATGCTTTTTAGCATGATGTTTTCAGCCATGTTGTCAAATGCTTTCAATGAGAATGAACATGGCATCAAGGTCAGCTACTACACTGATAGTAGATTCTTCAACTTGAAAAGGCTACAAGCCAAGACCAAACTGAAGGGAATATTGGTGCATGATTTTTTGTTTGCAGATGATTGTGCACTCAATGCAGCCTCTGAAGCTGAGATGCAACAAAGTATGGATCATTTCTCTGTTGCTTGTCCTAATTTTGGCCCAACAATTAACACCATTGCTCCATCAACCAGCACCACACTGCACCAACCATTGGGTACAGCAAATGGAAAAGTTTTGAATGCTATGGATAAATTCACTTACCTTGGTACTTTCTAGGGATGTACATATTGATAATGAGATTGATGCACGTATTGCCAGAGCTAGCTGAGTGTTTGGGAAGCTCCAAAGGAAAGCGTGGGAGAAGAGAGGTATTAGACTGCCTACCAAACTGCAGGTCTACAGAGCTGTTGTGCTGACCTTGTTATTGTATGTCTGTGAAACCTGGACAGTACACCAGTGCCATGCTAGGAAACTAAATCATTTCCATTTGAATTGGCTTAGGAAGATTCTGAAGATCACCTGGCAGGATAAGATACCAGACACAGGTCCTTTCTTGGACTAAACTGCTAAACATCTGAACTCTACTGCAGAGAGCGCAACTCCGATGGGCTGGCCACATTGTCTGAATGCCAAACATATACTTGCCAAAAAGACTATTCTATGGAGAATTCACACAGGGCAAGCACTCACATAGTGGTCGGAAGAAGCAATACAAGGACACTCTCAAGGTCTCTCTGAAGATCTTTGGAATTGATTGTGTGACATGGGAAACACTGGCACAGAACTGCTCAGCATGGTATGCCCTCATCGGAGAAGAAGGCCATTAGTAGAGAACTTCCTCTTTCTCCCTGCTCATCTCACATGCTTCCAACACTATTCTCCATCTTGCCTCCTTTACTAAGTTTCTTATGATGAGATGGCCTATCTTCCTGCCAAAGCCAACCCCTCTTTCAGTGTACCCTTGACCCCAATCTCCCTCTCATTTCTGCCTCCTAGTTTCCCCAGCCTCCTTCAAGTTTCAGCTAACATAACATATTCTGTAAGATGATGCCCCAAATCTTAATGCCTTTCCTCTGAGATTTTCATCAGTTTATATGTGTGTATGTGTCTTGTTTATACATAGTGGTTAGCATATTGTCTCTTCATGTAAGCTTCTTGAGAGGAGGTACTATTCTTGCTTTAGTAGGAGCTTAAGTAACCCCGGTCTCAAAGAAATCACTGTCCCAACCCCATTGGTATGGGACTCTCTCCTTACTGGTGGAGATGAATGCCCTGTGCAAGGGGCAGGGCAAGGTTGTTAAGGGTGCCAGAGAGCTTCTGCTTTTAGTCAATCTTGATCAGATAGTGTCAGAGACTTTTGGGGAGGGAAGGATGTTTTGTACTGACTGTACTTCCTATACCATCTTAGAAAATAACTTCTTAAAAGCTAATTAAAATGGATATCACACTAACATCACTCTAGTCGAGACCTGTTGAGCTATAGTACTAGAAAACCACCCCCCAGCCCTCTCAGGGTAAACCCCTAGCCTCCTGAGGGTAAATGTAGCAGCCTTGCCCTGGGACCCCAGCCTGCCAGTGCCAGTGGGGCCCGGGAGAGTGGCTCCAGAGTATCTATACCCTTCTGAGCTAAAGTCTGAAAAATCCATCCAAACTTGCGGTTTCACACACTTTCCTCTCACTCTCTTCTAAACCCTCTGCAATCTGATTCCTGAGGAATTGAACAGCGAAAGGGAATTAGAGCTGGCTCCATCAAACCCCTGATTTGAACCTAGAACTTTCCTAGTTCTGGTGCTTAGCACAGGGCCTAGAACATAGAAGGCATTTAATAAATGCTAATTGACTGACTGACTGGACCCGAGGAAAGCTCTACTGACTATGCCCTGTCGGCTCATGTGATGGAGAGCTAGAACCTAAATAGATGTTTTTTTTCTTAGATTGGGGGCAGGGGATAGCCTTCTCCAGTGATAATTTCAATGATAAGATTGACATTTGGAATAACCATTTTGTCTAAAATTTAGCACCCATATATGTGGATCGTTTACATCATTAAGAATTGTCCACCTAACACAATTTTCTTTCAAAAGTGATAATACCTTGCTTCCTTTAAAAACCAAAGGTGCTCCAGTGAGGCTGAGTTCTTTATGGGACAGAATAAAATGATATTTCTCATAGGATGGTGTCTTTACAAACACTATGTATTGAGGTAAAACTGTTCAAATTTATTCCTCTTTATATACTATCTTTTCAACCTCTCCTCATCCTTAATCCCAAGTCAGGAAAAAGAAAGAACCATCTCCAGGTAAGTATTGCCAGCTCCCTGCTAAACCCTGGGAAGAGAGCTGGCTTGGGTACTTCTCCCATCTGGAGACTATACCCTTAATACAAGAAGGCAGATGACACTTTCCAGAGCCATAGGACTTAGAGATTTAGAAGTCTAGCCCCCCCCCATTTTATTTTAATGTTATTTATTTTAATTTGTTTTGAATTTTTATTCTGAACATAAGATAAGCATTTCCATATACATGGTTGAATAGAAAAAGTATTGGGCACAAAAATTGTGAACTTCTTTTATGTATAATTGCTTTTCTTTTAAGATGTATAAGAAATTCAACATGTAACTTTCAAAACTATCCTGCTTGTTTGGAATCCCTTCTAGCCTTCCTTTTCATCTCTTCTGTGCATTTTTAAAAAATGCTTCAATGACCTTCATTTATTTCTCTTTTTTGGTCTATCTTATCCCTGCCCCCTACTTCCCCTCCTACCCCATCTTATTTAAAAAACAAAACAAAGCAAAAAAAAAATAACTAAAACCCTTGTAACAAATATGTGGTCGAGCCAATTCCCACATTCATCATATTTGAAAATGTAAGTCTTCTTCTGCATCTTGAGTCCATTATCTCTCTTTGTTAGGAAGAGGGTAAACATGTTCCATTATCAGTCCTCTGTAATCATGGTTGGTAATTGCATTGATTAGGGTTCTCAAGCTTTTCTTTATAATGTTGTGGTCATTTACCTCTTCACTCTGTATCAGTTCACAGAGTTCTTTCCAGGTTTTTCTAAAACTATCCCTTTAATCATTTCTTAATAATAATAGCAGCTAGCATTTATATAAGCACTTTAAGGTTTTTCAAAGTACTTTATGTAAGCTATCTTATTTGATCTTCACAGAACCCTGTAATATATGTGTTAACATTATCCCCATTTTACAGATGATGAAACTGACTCCCAGAGAAGTTAAGTGATTTTCCCAGGGTCATGTAGTTAGGAGTAGAACTCAGATCTTCCTGATTGTGGTTTTATCCACAATGCCAACTAACTGCTTAATAATATTTCATTACATTTATATACCATAATTGGTTCAGCTATTCCCCAATTGATGGCCAATTCTTTAATTTCCAGTTCTTTGGCACTACAAAAAGACCTGCTGGAATTATTTTTGCACACATGAGTCCTTTTCCTTTTTTTTTTTTTTAATATCTTTAGGTAATGGGCTTAGTAATGATTTTGCAGGGCAGTTTAGTGACTCTGGGGGCATGGTTCCAAGTTGTTTTCCAAAATTCATTCCCATCATTTTAAAAATTGATGCAATCAGAGCTCAGAGAGAGGAGATTTGTCCTTCACATAGTAAGTAGCAGAGCTGAAATTTGAATACAGTTCATCCAATTTCAGTCCTAGGGCTCTTACCTTCACTATTCTACCCTGATTTATTACTGCCAGTGACCTGCTATACAGCCAGCATCCTGACTGCTCTTGTTCAGCCTGTCAGAAGGTATATCAGTCAGAAGGAGGGCTGCCCTACCATATGCTTCCTGCCATGGAGAGGACTAACATTAGGCTCTGTGGGCAGCCAATTTGAAAAAGGACTTCCTCAATAATGAAGTTAATGATATGCAGAAAGCCTTTGGCCACCACTTGTACATATCAACCCCATTGACCCTTGAATGGAGAACCATACAATATTACTAGGTATTTTGCCCAATATTTCCCCCTTCCCTCTGGCCTCTTCACTAGCCCAGAAAGGACCCTCTAACCTATACTTTATTTCCGACAAATACAGGATAGCGTGTTCTTCTCTGAAAATGACAACAGTCTGTATTTCACATACAGTGGCCAGTCCAACACTCTGGAGATCAGGGACCTCAACTACCAGGTAAGAATACCAGTAAATACTTTTATGTAATACATTATGACCACGTCTGATAGTCTGAGACTTGCCTGGCTGAAAATTCAACAAATGAAACAAGAATGTAAAACTCCCTGGGTTGGGCCTCTTCTCTGAGGATGCAGAAACAGTACACTCCTTGACAACTATTTCTAGGTGATGCAGTGGAGGACTCAGAATCAGGAAGACCTGAGTTCAGATTATGCCACAGATCCTTATTAGCTATGGCAAGTCACCAAATCTCTCTTAGCCTCAGTTTCCTCATCTGAAAAATGAAGCTAATAGTAGCACCTACCTCCCAAGGTTATTGTGAGGACCAAATAAAAAAATATAATGTAATATGCTTAGTAAATTTTAAGATGCAATTATCATCATCATCAAATAAGATAAAATATAAATTACTTTGTGATCATTATAATGCCATATAAATGCTAGCTATTATTATTAACATCAAAGGAGGTAACATGTAAAGCACTCTGCAAACTTTAAAGTGCTATATACATGCTAGCTAATATCAAATGAGATAATATTAGAGCAGCTGTACGAATCTTAATGTACTATATAAATGTTAGCCATATTATTATTACTATTGTTATTATGCCAAACTTATCCTGGTTTCTGTTGGCTTTCTCTTTCTAAGGAAGCCATCCCTTACATTTCCTTAAATATGAAGCAGGAATATTCCTTAGCAACCTCAGCTAGAGGCTGTGAGGCCCAAAAGTGGAATGAGGCTAAGGGTTTTCAGGGAGAAAAGATTAAACATTATTATTCAGCAAAGACAAAGCAAGGTTTGCTCATGAAAATGAAAAATCATCTTTTTTTTGTATTTGCATTTGCAAAATTCACAGGTCCCCTTACTCAAGACTAGAGACCTCTTCTTTCCCTCTCCCTCTGACTCTATCATTAGGCAGGGAGTGAACAGGAGCTCAGCCTGCAGAGGGGTTTGCCTGGGACCTCACACTTGGCTGTCTGGGTGGGATGGGCCAAGAGACACAAACAAGCTGAACCATGGTATGTGTCATCCAGAAAGTTGATACACCAACTTACCTGGGGATTCAAGTTTGTTTCAGCTTTGCTGTTCTTTATGCCCTTCCTAGTCTCATAATCCTTTGGTTTGCAAATCGAGATGTTTTTGCTGTCTTGGTCTGGACTTGAGATTCCTTGGAGGTGGGGAGCTCCCTAACGAAGAAACTCCCTTTCCAGATACACATCAGCAACTGTTCCACAATTTTTAGTCTTAGAGGAGGGATTCTTAACCTTTTTTGGTCATGGTCCTCTTTGGTGACAATCCAGTGAAGTCTATAGGCCCTTTTTCAGAAGAATGTTTTTCAATTCATAAAATAAACTACATGGGATTCCAAAGGAAATCAGTTATATTGAAATACAGTAATCAGAATATTTTTTAACAAACAGAACAAAATATGTTCATAGAGCTCAGAACCCTTGTCTTAGAGTATTACTTGGGGCCATTAGTATCAGGGGTGGGACCTGAACCCACCCGTGTGTGATAGTGCATCTATCCACCACAGCATCTCATAAAGGGATGAACCACATAATCCTGCTCCCCACAAATGCTGTTTCAAGATGGCATCCCTAAAACATCATAAGAAATCCCACCTCTTCATGGCCAGACCTATGACTGGTGCAGCTGTGACCAGACCAGTTCAGGCCCCTGTTTTGCTTCCTCATGACATCCATTGATCATAACCCTTCTCCCTTATCCCCAAGCCCTTCTCATAGCTTGACAGGGTGCCACCCTGGCTGGCTTCCACTCCCTTCGTGGAGCTCTGTTCCTACAGAATGGCTCCTTGAAACATTCTAGATATTGTTTCCTTCCTTATACCTGTATCCCCAGACCCTTGTGCAGTGGCCCTGGCCTACTAGCACATAGTAGGTGCTTAATAAACATTGTTGGCAGATCAATTGTTTCACCAAATATGGTGATAACAACATGCTTGTAGCTACCTTACATTCTGGGTTCATCTGTGTCTCATCTACAGCTACTGTCAGTTCCTTTACAGGTAGCAGATGTGTTGTTATTCTTTGAGCCTATGTTATATGAGCAGCACTAGGGTTTCAGTTCTGTTGTTGTTCAGTCATACATATCTGACTCTCTATGACCCCATTTGGAGTTTTCTTGGCAAAGATACTAGAGCAATTTGCCATTTCCTTCTCCAGCTCATTTTACAGATAAAGAAACTGAGACAAATAGGGTTAAGTGACTTGCCCAGGGTTACACAGCCAATACATGGCTGAGGTCAAATCCAACTCAGACCTTCCTGCCTCCAGGTCAGGCATTCTATCCACTGCACCACCTAACTGCTTTAGGGTTCAAATGCTCATAGTCATCTGAGGTCAAGAAGAGGGAGGAAAGAAAATATGACAAAATGTGACCAAGGAGCTAACAGCATGAAAGGCACCATCAAATAAACTTTTAAAGATAAATTCAGTTTGGAGGGCAAGACCATAGACCTCAAGACACAGGGCCCAGTGGGAAAAGAGATCCCAAGATATTGCATGGTAAAGGGTTGACAGAGAGAGCAGAACACCCAGAATGGTGGCTGGAGAATAGCAGGGCTTGGCTAGGGAGAAGTTAGCATAGGGAAGGAAGCACACCAGACACTATTCCCTTATCATAGCTCATTATTCTTGCGACTAGGTACTAAGCTCAATTATCTCTCTCTCTGTTGCTTGTCTCTCTAAATTTTGGCTCCTCTAATTTGTGTCAATACTCCAGTCACCCTACCCTAGTTATGGTTCTGGGCAGTTGGACAGAGGCCATTGAGATGGGTCTAAAATGAGTCTATCACATACTCATCCACATGATACTGAGCATGGTTTAAGAGTATCCTCCATCCTTCCCTTCTCTCCAGATTAAAGGGGCCTCCCACATGCCATGGTATGAGCAACTTACCGAGTTCAAAATGCCTTATTTGTGGAACCGAGGCCAGGATTCCCCTGTGCTTGTGATCCAGAATCTGAATCTGAAAGTGAGGAGTGGCCAGATGCTGGCTATCATGGGGAGCTCAGGTATGCATCTCCTTCCAATGGGAGGGGACAACAGGGTCAACGCCACTTCCACCCAGGACCCAGAATGGAAGTGAACAAGGACTTGCTAGATGTCTACCTCACAATCTACAGCAGCAGGCATTCATTCAGGATGGCTGGACTAGCCTCAGGAAATGATCCTGGCACCATAAAAAGACCTCATAAGTACTTACTGGGAACAGAGCTATTATCCTATACTCCTCCCCTCATAGATAAGTTTAACAGTCTTTACTCTTGTTGTTGAGTAGTTTTTTTTCAGTCATGTCCAACTCTTCCTGATCCCATTTGGGGTTTTCTTGACAAAGATACGGGAGGGGTTGGCCATTTACTTCTCCAGGTCATTTTACAGATGAGGAAACTAAGGCAAACAGGGTTAAGTGACCTGCCCAGAGTCACACAGCTAGGAAGTGTCTGAGACCAGATTTGAACCCATGTTTTCCTCACTCGAGGCCGGGTACTCTATGCACTTCTGCCTTTCAAATTCATTAGTGTAAGAGAAAGTCCTACCAATAAGAAGAATAATTCGCATTAATACGTGCTTTCCTTGCAATAAGTCAGCAAGATTGGTAGCACAAGGATGACAAAATGGAAAGAAGTCTAGTTTTGGAATCAGAAGACCTGAATTCAAATCCTGGCTCCAACAATTAACACCCTTATGATCACGGAGAAGTTGCTTCATCTTGTCTGGGCTACAGGGTCCTCCTTTGTAAAACAAAGAGCGACAGGAGAGTATTGGATGAGATGGCCTCTCAAGGCCCTTCCACTTTTCCATCTAGGAACTTACAAGTGAAACTGTGTCCCAGAGGAGCAAAGCCTCCAGGCACAAGGCATTTATTTTTCAATGTCCAAGAGTTGGCGGCTACCGGTGGAATACAACCATGTTAGCCTTTTATGTCTGATGACAGAATTTCCTTTCACATCACAGCATTATTCTAGTTTAGCCTACCAGGTCTGTCATAGTCTAATGTGGTCACTCTGGGGGCAAGTGGCTATAGATGGATACCTACACTTTCTGAAATTAGAAGAGAGCTTCTATCTTTAAGAAAGGCATAAACTGAGATAAGGTTATTTTTTTAAAAATCAGCCCTTCCATACAGCCCACAGCGTTCCTAAGTGTAGCCTGAACCAGAACTAAATGAAAATACATTCAAATATAGATAATAACATATTTTAAAACTAAGTCAACAGGCAACAAACAGGCAGAGCTTCTGACATCTCATGGACCCCATTTCTATTTGACAGCACTGTTCTGTCTAACCCTTGTCACTGGGGACCAAACAGAAGGTCATCTGAGCAAGGACCGGGCTTAGAAAGGAGTCAGAGCACACATCCATGTCCATGGAGGGTAGCCCAGCCCAGAAAATCAGCAGTTCCCCCATGACTCCCTGCTACACATGCATTATTTCTCTTGAACCTCATAACAACTCCATCAGATAGGTACTAAAGGCATTTTCATCCCCATTTTACAAATCAGGAAACTGAGGCCCAGGGAAGTTATGTGACTTACCCTGTCACACAGCTAATAACTTTCACAAGTAGTATTTGAAACCAGGTCTTCCTGACTCCAAGGCCGGTCCTCACTCCACTATGCCACACTGCCTCCCTCAAGGCAGCTAGGGTTTGGAGGTGTGAAGATCTGAGTTTGAATCCTGCCTCATACACACACTTAATAGCTGTGTGATCCTGGGCAAGATACTTCACACTTTACCCCTTCAGCCTCAATTTCCTGGGAAAGGGGATAATAATATCAGCTTCTTCACAGAGCTGAGAATCCTCCTTTAGGGGCAAACACTCACATGGTAGTCAGAAGAAGAGATACAAGGACACTCTCAAGGTCTCTCTGAAGAAGTTTGGAATTGATTGTGTGACATGGGAGACACTGGCACAGGATCGCCCAGCATGGTGTGCCCTCGTTAGGGAAGGTGCTGTGCTCGATAAGCAGAATTGAAATAGCTCATGAGATGCACAAATTTAGAGAAGCCACTCCAAATGTTCCCATTTGTGCCTGACCCGTGGTAGAACACTCCAAGCTCGTATTGGCCTGATCAGCCACAGTCGTACACACTGTAACTTGGGTTGTCATTTTGGTCCTCTTCTAGAAAGGACAACAGCCACTACCACCTCCCAGAGTAGTTGTATCAAGTGAGATAACATAAGCACAGTGCTTTACAAATCTAAAAATGCAAATCCACCTGTCTGCTAAAGCTGACCACGTGGCTTGGGCACCTCTGCTCTTCAAAGAAGCCTGGGTCAAGGGGCCCTAAATTAAAGAAGGAGGCGTAATTGACCATGGGAGGAAAATATTTTGGGGTCACTAGTTGAAACTTTGGGTATCACATAGCCTGCAGTGAGTGAACAAGACACCTGCAAAGAGCAGAGCATTTTTCAGACACATGATGGAACTTTCCCCTGGTTGAAAAAGCACTTTAAGAAGAAAATGAGTCTATACAAAGGAACAAATAGTAATGAAATCAAAGTTGTACCTGAGGGAATATCACTGAAAAAAGTAGCCATTCTGATGGAATCACACATGATGTGGCTGTCTGTTGAGAGAGCAACTGAGTCTGAATGCCATTCAGCAAACTGGTCTCAAGTGCTTTTTAAGAGTTTCTGATACACCTTATCAAATGCTTTTGTGAAGTGGATCCAAATTATCCCTTTGCTTCTCTTTATCAGGGACAATCAATACGGCATTTGAGAAAGAATGGTTTTAACTGGACAGCAAATGATGGCTGTCTTTAGGTACTTGCTTTAAAAAATTTTTTTTTAAAGTACACATGGGAAGGTCAGAACACGCCTTTCTAATGGGCTGCAGTTTAAAAATAATTTCTAAACCTATTATTTCTTCTTTTTTTTTTATTACTCCTCCAAACAGGCTTGAGTTGTGCATTTTTAAAAGACTCCCTATTAACATTCCAAATTAGTCATTCCCATAAAATCAGCTTCTGAACCAAATACAATTTGAATGATGAGACATTTGCTGGCACGTCAGGGAGCCAAAAATAGTTTTGCTTAACAATGCAATTAACTCCGGCCCTTTTCCAGAAGAGGAAGTGGGGTTGAGAGGCTGAGCATCTTTCTGGCAAGCAAAAGTAAAGGATGGTCCCTGGAATCTTGCCTCCGTGAGAATCCACCCAACGTGATCTTTGCCCCTGGTGTTGTCAAGCCCTGAAGCTTCGAGCTGAGGCCATAAGAAAGTCCCATGTTCAGGGCTGATCTTGAAGGCTGATCTGTGTGTCTAGACAGCAGTTAAGGACAGCAGCATGAGTTTCCTCTAGTGCAGGGGTGGGGAACCTGCGGCCTTCAGGCCACATGTGGCCCTTTAGGTCCTCAAGTGCAGCCCTTTGACTGAATCCAAACTCTTGGCCTCGAAGCTGCAGATTCCCCACCCCTGCTCTAGTGGATTTCCTCAAATGCAGCTGTGGCAAGAATAGGCATATTGACCAGGGTGGAAGTGAGGAATCCCAGCATCTGCTGCAAATTCATTTAACCAGGGTGGAAGTGAGGAATCCCAGCATCTGCTGCAAATTCATTTAAGGGTTCAGCTGGAGGAGGGGGAGCAGAGGCTGGGCAAGGCAAAGAAGGACAGAGGGCAGTCTGATCACTGGTGGGGTTGTGGAGTTAGATGTGCTGTCTTTCTCCCTCCCTGAGGGGTGGGAAGGTAAGGCGGGCCCTGGGAGTGAGTACCACAGCCACGTGACCCTGGGGGCAGCAGCCTGAAGTGCAAGCTGGCAGAAGATGAAGTGAGGTTGGGTGCTGGGATGATGGTCACTGCAGGCAAGAAGCAAGCCTCACACCATGTCAGTGCCCTGGCACAAAGCCCCGTTTGCTCTGGGATAGTTTCAACTTTTCACATGATGGAGTCCTAGCACACTGGGGTATTTGGAGAAGAGGCAAAGGATGAGAACCATTTCCCAAAGGTCTTGCTAAGCAGGATCAGAACTGGAGCTCCCTGGCAGAAGAAACCTTTCTCTTGCCTTGCTAGGTTATGGAAAGTCCTCCCTGCTGGATGTGATTACCTGCAGAGAACGTGGAGGCAAAGTTAAGTCGGGCCAGATTCTAATTAACGGTCAGCCAAGCACACCCCAGCTGGTGAAGAAATGCATCGCCCACGTGCGGCAGCAGGACAGCCTTCTCCCCAACTTGACCGTGTGGGAGACCTTATTATTTGTCGCGCAGCTCCGCCTACCAAGAGCCTCCTCACACGCCGAGCGCAAAAAGAGGGTACGTACCTAACTCGTTGGCAAAAGCAGAATTTCACAGAATCAAACAATAATCATGCACTTTGGGGCCAGGCAAGATGGTACAGTGGTCAGAGGCCAGGACTCAGAATCCAGCAGACTTGGGTTTAAATCCTGCGTCTCATACTTGCTGGCCGTATGTGCTCGTAGGGAAGTCGCTTTCTGAGCTTCAGGCAAATCTAAGACTTTTTTTTTTAAACTAAGTTACAGATGAGCTGATGATCTGTCTTGGGGGATGCGGGTGAGTGGTGAGTTTCTGATGAAGCCACAGAGTTTAAGTTGGGGGGTGGAAGGTTACTGGTGAAGTGGATAGAAGGCCTGACCTAAAGTCAGGAGACCTGAGTTCAAATTTGGCCTCAGATACTAACTGGCTGTATGGCCCTGGGCAAGTCACTTCACCCAGTTTGCCTCAGTTTCCTCATCTGTAAAATGGGCTGGAGAAGGAAATGGCAAACCACTTCAGTATTGTTGCCAAGAAAACCCCAAACGAGGTCATAAAGAGTTGAATATGACCGAACAACTACAATCACAACTTTTGTGCAAATTTCTGTTTTCCTAGAGAAACTCCCCTAACCCACCCAAATCTTGTAAGGAAGGAATGAGTAAAGAAAAGATGGCAATGGGAAAAGAATTCTAGCAAGGATGCTATTCCACTCTATTCTATATTAAATATGAAATTTGGTGACCTTTAATAATAGATCTACCCAAGCATCCCAATAGCTCTGTGAGGTAAGTAATTCAGTTCAATCATTTTTCAGTCATGTCTGACTCTTCATGACTCCATTTGAGGTTTTCTCGGCAGAGATACAGAAGTGATCTGCCATTTCCTTCTCCAGCTCATTTTATAGATGAGAAAACTGAGGCAAACAGAGAGTGAGGTGACTTGCCCAGGGTCCCACAGCTAGGAAGTGCCAGAGTCCAGATTTAAACTCAGGTAGATGAGTCTTCCCGATTCCAGGCCCTGTGTTGTCCATGGTGCCACTTTCATTGATTCTGATCAGGAGAATTCCCGATTTGCAAATCTGTTCCTCATAATGAAACTAATTATTTAAACTGCTACTTGATTGTTGGCATTTTTGTCTCTGGCCTGCTGTTTTGTCATTCTCTGGTTAGAGACTGGCTCAGTAAAATCCTGTTAACAGTATCTATATGATGTTAAAAGAACTAGAGGAAGGCTGCCATATTTGGTAGATCCTCTGGAGATAATTTATGGGGGGACATGCACAAGAATTACATGGATGAAGAGGAATGGAAAGATTGGACATCAGAGGGCATACTCACATCTTTGAGATCAGTCAATCAACAAACATGTATTAAGTGATTACTATAAGCCAGACACTACGCTAAGTGCTGGAGATACCAAGAAAAAAAAAACAGTTTCTGCCCTCAAAGGTTACATTCTAATGGCAGAAAAAACTTGTAAATAACTAGGTAGATACAAGATATATATTGAGGATGGGGAAGATAATCTGAGAGGGAAAGGCATTGCTCTGGTGCAACTGGGAAAGACCTCCTGAAGAAGGTGAGATTCGAGATGAGTCTTGAAGGGTGGAGGTGAGGGGGGCAGTTCATTCTAGGCATAGGGGTCAGCTAGTGCAAAGGCATAGAGATAGGGGATGGAGAGTCATGTTTTCCAGGGATGGCAAACCTGCCACTGTAGCCAGAATGTACAGTGCATGGGAAAGAGTGAATTGTGAGAAAACTGGAAAAGCAGGAAGGGACCAAGTGTTGAAGAGCTTTCAGTGCCAAACAGAGGACTTTATATTTTATCCTGGGGTTATTGAAGAACCCCTTAAATATGTATGTGTGTATATGTATGCATATATACACACATATATGTATGTGTGTATATATGCATACATATATAAATATACATACATATATCCATGCTTAACTGTAGCCTTCGGGGGTGGGGAAGAGCCAAGTAAAAAGTGCACAGCAGAAAATAAAAGAAAACTTACAAGGAAGCAAAGAAAAGATAGATAGCTCTCAACACAATATATAGTATGTATTACATAGGCTCTCTTGAAAGGGAAATTAATTGCTGTATATTTTGAATTCTCTCTTACCTTCTGCTGCGCTCATGACAATGCTTTCTTTTTCTTATTATGTATTTAAGATTTAGTATTTAAGTTTATAATGTTTCTTTTTTTTCTTATTGTGTATTTAAGTTTTAATATTTAAGTTTAAATTAATTTAAAAAAAAAAGAACCCCCCAAATCATGGAGTGATCTAGTTAGATCTATGCTTTAAGACATCTCATTGACAGCTCGAATGGAGGATGGGCTAGAATGGGGAGAGGCTTTTGCAGTGATACTGGTGAGAGGCAATGACGGGGCTGCTGCCCCAGAGTGGGGGCTGTGTGAGTGGAGAAAAGGGGACAAAGGTATGAGAGAACTTTGGTGAAAGTGTTTGGCTGTATACGTGCTATTGCCATTAAGAAACCGCGGGAATTACAAGCCCATTGAAGGAAGAAACAATGCCTGAGAATAATGTTCGAAAAGGCAAGAAATCAGTGACTTCACTGTTTCCTCCTTCTTAGGTAGAAGAGGTGATAGCTGAGCTCCGGCTGCGGCAGTGCGCGAACACCCGAGTGGGGAATGAGTACGTGAGGGGCGTGTCTGGTGGTGAGAGGAGACGAGTCAGCATCGGGGTGCAGCTACTGTGGAATCCTGGTGAGGGGATTGTGGTGGTTCGTATGGCCCCGTGTGTGGGAGAAACATCTCTCCACTCATGGAAGCTTTCTCCATCTTTGACAAAAGTGGCTAGATGGGGCAGTGGATAGAGCCCTAGATTTCGAATCAGGGAATATCCAATTCACATGCAGCCTCAGGCACTTACTAGCTGTGTGACTCTGGGCAAGTCACTTAACCCCTGTTTCTTCATCTTCAAAATGGGTAAAAATCTTTACCTCCCAAGGTTGTTGTGAGGATCACCTATGTAAAGCCAAAATGTTACAAAAGGCTTTGGAAAAATCCATAAATGTGTTGTATGAATAAGGCTACATAATCTTCTTTCCTTCCCTTCCTCTTGCCTCATCCAGTACTTTCAGGCTAAAAATATGTACCCTGCTATAATAGCAACTAGAATAAATATTGAAGGCATGACCCAGCCCTGCCTCCACTGTCTCTCCCCTAACTCACTCCTCGGCTCCTTGTAATCTGGTTTCTGTTCTCATCCCCACCACCATTCTCCTGAAACTATTTGGCCTGTTGGGAGGCAGTGATATGTCTCTCTGAGCCTCAGTTTCCTCGTCTATAGGCAGCTACAAGGTGTCGTGGATAGAGCACTAGTCTTGGAGTTCAAATGCTGCCTTAGACAATTACTAGCTGTGTGACCCTGAAGAAGTCAATTTCCTCACCTGTAAAATAGGAAGAATAATAGCACCTATTTCTCAGGCTCATTGTCAGGATTCAATGAGACAACATATGTTAAGGAGCTCTATAGAGTTTTAATGAAGTGCTACACAAACACAAACTAGTATTCAAGTTGTCCCTGATGGCCAAGGGCATCCACTCCAATGGCTTTTCTGGACCCCAGCACTGCACAGTGAGCACTTCTGTCTTGAAATTCTCCCTTCCCTTGGCTACTGTGCTTTTTCCTGGTTCTTTTACCTTGCCGACCTCTCCACGGGTCTCTCTGCCATCCGTTGGTACCCTTCCCTTCCTGTAAATGTCGGTGTTCCTCAAAATTCTATCTTTGGCACTTTTCTCTCTTTATGCTGTCCCCTTCCCAGCTTCAGTTGTCACCTACATACAGATGTCCCCCCAAAGTCTGTCTCCTGTTGCCTCTTCTCCCAAGATCTAGACACATGTTTCCAACGAATTCCACCAGTACGTCTGGCTGGCACCTTAAATTCAACAAATTAAAAACTCTACCTATCACTTTCCCCTCATTTCCCATTTCTTCTCCTAGAATATGTGTTTTTGTTCAGAGACTTCCCTCTCCCATTTACTCAATCTCAAATCCTTACTGAAATCTTTGTTGTTTTCTTCCCACATCCAATCAAGATGTCAAATCCTATTGATCCTTCTTCAGCAAGAGTTCTTGCTTCTGTTTACTCCATTCTTTTACCACTGCCTATATCCCAGTTCAAGCCCTCATCATCTCTTACCTAGACAACTGTAATACGCCTCCTAACTGGTCTCTTAGCCTCTGGTCTGTTGTTCAGTTGTGTTCCAATCTCCATGATCCCATGGACCATGGGGTCTTCTTGACAAAGATACTAGAGTGGTTTGCCATTTTCTTCTTCAAAGAATTAAGACAGAGGTTAAATGACTTGCCCAGGGGCAAGTAAGCTAGTAAGCCAGTAAGTTAGTAAGTAAGTGTCTGAGAGTACAATTGAACTCAGGACTCCAGGCCCAGTGCTCTATTCCAGTAAGCCATCTAGTTGCCTCTTGCCTCTGGTCTTTCAATCTCTACTTTACACTCCACACAACTATAAGGTTAATCTTCTTCAAATGCGACTTCGATTCTGTCATAGGCCTCTCCCACCTTTGGCTTCCTACCTCCATATCTTTTCCTCATGCTGTTCCTTCCATTTGGAATGTCCTCCCCCCTCTTCTCACTCTTCCTGGCTAATTCCTACCCTTCTTTCAAATCTTAGTTCAATTCTAACTGTAATGATATAATAATATTGTTACTAATGATAAATGATAATAATATTTCACATTTGTGTAGCTTTAGAGTTTACCAATATTTTTACATTTGTTTTGATCTTTTTCAACATAATCTTGCATCAGCATGAGAATAGGTATTATTGTACCTATTTTACAGATGAGGAAACTGAGTTTTGGGAAGGTCAAGTGATTTACTCAAGGTCAAGGTGATACCTCGGATATCCTTAGCAGGAAATGATCTCTCCCTTCTCTGAATTCCCAGAGTGCTTTGCATATACCTCTCTCAGGTCACATTTACTCTCTCGTATATATATGTGTATGTTATATAAACACATATATATATATATATACATACACAAATATACACACATATCTACATACGTTTATGTACATATATATGCATACATATATATGATTAAGAATAAGGTATGATCCTTTCCCTCATGGAGCTTACAATCTAATAAGAAAGAGCCCATACATGTTTGCGCACACATGTACATATGTGTATAATATGTAATATATGTGTGAGCATATGTGCTCATGCTTGTACAGTCTCTCTTACTAGATTGTAAACTCCACGAGGGAAAAGACTTATTCTTCCTATATCCTCCACGAGGTCTTATAGCGTGTACTAGTCAATGTTTGTTTAATGAATGAATGAATTACTAGATTAATGAATGAAGAAATATCCACAAGGACCCAATCCTAAAATGAATCAAGGGGGTTTAGTATTACTTGAAAGCAAGACATTCAAGGACATAAACTGAGTAAATTATTCTATGGAACTTCACAGGTGGTTCAGAGAAGGTAGGAATTTACTAATTCAGAAACAGTGAAAGAAGAGTTGGGATAGGAAATGGAAACCTCTTTTGAAATGTTGCCTAGAGGCCTGGGAATAGAAATGTAGCACCTGGAGCATCTCCTCTTACATGTGAACTCTCAGGTTGAGGGCACTCTGTGAATCTGCATCTACTCAAAACCATAGCTCCCCAGCCCTCCACCAGTGTGTATTCATTTAGTTTTTAGATGTGGTGGCTCATAGTGTTGGCAATAGACTAAAGATCTGTTAGCCAGCCTTTGTCAGGCAGAGGCTTTCTAGTCACTACATTTTAGGTGATAGGAGCAGAGCCAGTAGGTAGCCCTAAAGAGCTGAAACCCAGAAGAAGGTAACAAATGCAGCTCAGCAATGAGAGAACTAAATAATCCCCAGCAAAGAGATGATACCATTAGGGAAGGGGACAGACACAGTAAAGAGCAGAAATGTGATCCCGAAGGGAGAACAGCACTTTGCAAACCTGAAAGCACTATATAAACTTAGATATTTTTGTTGTTGTTACCAAGTAGAGAGAGAATACAGTAGTTGAAAACAAATGATATTTAATAAAAGAACAAAGCAGATAAAGAGACATAAAAAGCCCAGGCATATATGAGATATCTCCCTCCTCAAGCTAACACACCGCCAATGGAGGGGGCACACACCACAGAAGGAAAACACTCAACCAGACCACGTTATAGACAACATACAAGTAGGGGATACATGCAGGGGTGGCTGGAGCCAGCTCTTACTGGCTTTTGAGGGGTTTTTTTTTTTGAGTGAATTTTCAACGTGAGCATTTATACCTTGGAAATCAGCAACCATTACAAATCACGGCTTGATTTACTGTTTTGCTGATTGTCTAGACTTAAGAAAATGTTAATAATGAAGATTAAACTTAAAGATGTATGAGTACTTACATTTTTTCCCCCAGAGAGTTCTTGTTAAACATTTACCAGCGCACCTCTGTATTGCTCTATAAACATGGCTTGAGCTGAGCAGGAATGTAATAGAAGGTTCAAGAAGTAAAGTAATCACTAGAGTGGAGGCCTGGTGACTGTAAGCTAACAACAACAACAATAATACAAAATGATAACAAAAAACAAATGGCTGTAGTCCATTGCCACAACTGTGAGCCACCACATCTAAATAAGAGTAGCAAAAAAAAAAAAGGAAAAAAGGAAAGAAAGAAAAGGAAAAAAGAAAGAAATGAAAAGCCAAGCAAAGAGTGGCAGACTAAGACTGTCTAATTTTTTGACTGCCAGTGTCTTTTTGCTTGTTTCACACAACTAGATTTAGAAATTTAGAAATTAGATTTAGATTTGGAAATTCCTTGTAACTCCTGTTTAACCCCTGCTGGACATTCTGTGTACTGACACCCATTGTCAAGACAGTCCCAAAGAAGACTCTTGTTCCAGCGAGAGCTGCCTATGGGTAAGAACAATTAAGCCTGCTTGTCTCCCTAAATCCTCCTTGGCTGGAAAAATGAGGTTAAGTAAAAACAAAAGCTAAGAGAAGAAGGTAACTACACTTTCTAGGCCCATATTCCTGCCTTTGCTATGTATATCTGTCACTAATACCACCTCCACTACCAACCACAGCAGGACTCTTGGCTTTTGAGCTGTATTCAGGTCAATGCAAACCCATACTATCTCCCTACAGAAATGTACTGTGAATTATCTTATAGAGTGTGTTTTATGTGGAGTGGAGTGGGGTTGGGGATTATGTGTGTAGAGAAAGGAGCTCACGTGCCTATTTATGGAGATTACTAAATTTACGATATGATTATCTTTAGAATAGTTTAGCAGCAGTCATGCTTGATCGCCGGGGATTAGGCAGATCTTTGCTGTGTTCCTACCACTGTGCCATGCCTGAATTGTGATTTGATCTGATTTATATAGGTAGGAAAGAAGGGGAGGAATTTCTGGCTGGGAACTATTCCTTTCTAAAGTCCTGCCTAACCTGGGGGTTTTTTAATCACCTTGTTGTATGCTTTTTTTCTATCTTCCAAATCTGTTTCATTCATTCTACTTTTTAATTTTTTTTAAAAGCAAAACACAGTCACAAGGGACGGATACAAAATAGATAAGACAAATTCCCTGGCCTCAAGGAGCTTACAATGTACAAAACTATCTATAATGCAAAATAGAATAATACAAAAAGTATGTAACAGGGGTACAAATAAGCTACATTGTGAATTTATAAGAGGGAGAGATCTTTTCCAGCTGGGATGAATCAGGGAGGGTTTCATGGAGGAAAAGGCATTTGAAGGATTGATAAGCTTTTAAGACGTTAAAATGGGGATGGGTAGGGTAAAGGTATGGAGGCAGGAAGGTTTTCTCATTTCAAGGAAAATGTTCCTAAGTCTCTGTTCCCATGTCTCAGTGTGGAGCAGGACCCAGGAATAGTTACAGAAACATGGCTTACCCAAGAACTTTATTCTATATAGTCATGCTTACATCACTAGTACCAGAGGGTCATTGTGGTCTTTTTACTTGGCAGGAATCTTAATACTGGATGAGCCTACATCGGGCTTAGACAGCTTCACATCCCATAACCTTGTGAAAACTTTATCCAGGCTGGCAAAAGGCAACAGATTAGTGCTGATATCGCTTCACCAGCCTCGCTCAGATATCTTCAAGTTGTTTGATTTGGTCCTCCTGATGACCTCTGGGATCACCATTTACTCAGGAGCAGCTCGGGACATGGTGAAGTATTTCACGGGAATTGGCTACCCCTGTCCGAGGTATAGCAATCCTGCGGATTTCTATGGTGAGTCAACAAAAGTCTTCAGATTGGGGTGATATGGGTACCTCATCCAGGATGGTCAGCCAGCATTTCTCTTCCCCATCCTGACAGTGCAGAAAACACCAGCTGAACTATTCACAGTTGAAGCATGTGGCTTACAGCCTCCTATGAGGCAGGTACTACAAATATCATTCCCATTTTACAGATGAGAAAGAGATATTCTTGGGAGAGACGAAAGGCCTGATTTATATTCTATGTAGATAAGCTCATAGATGTTACCATAAAAGGTGAGGTTCCAGGGAGGTTTAGAAAAATTTATCATAATGGGCTATTAAAGCAAGGTTGAGATCAGAGCCATAACGAGAGGCAGGGTACATTGTTTCTCTGAAATGATGCTTCCCACAAGAAAGGAGGAAGAAGGTCTTTCTGGGTAGGTTCCAGGACAAAGGAGAGGCAGAAATGGGGTCTGTTGGAGAAAGGCTGAATCTGGGCAGAGGACAGCGAAAATCTGACGTCCAGGCCTCTGGCCAAACTCTGCCTGTGGAGAGGCAGTCACTAAGCATTTTAACAAGGGCTTACTATGTGTCAGTCATTGTGCTAAGTGCTGAGGATACAAAGAAAGGCAAAAACAGTTCCTGTCCTCAAGCAGCTTACATTCTAATGGAGGAGACAAACATGAAACTGACTAGGTATACACAAGGTATATACAACATAACTGGGAAGCAATCTCAGAGGGAAGGTACTCGTAGTTGGGGGTGGATGGGGAAGGTCTTTTGCAGAAGGTGGGACTTGGGGTGAATCTTGAAGGAAGCCAGGGAAGTTCAAGAGGTAAAGCTGAGGAGGAAGGAGCATTCCAGGCACAAGAGATGGCGAATACAAAGGCGCAGTCAGGGAATGGAGTGCTTTATGTGTAGAACAGATAGGCCAGTATGACTGGATTGTAGAGTGGACAGAGGGCAATGAAGCATAAGAAGACAAGGAAAGGAAGGAAAGGTCCAGATTGTGAAGAGCTTTAGTGCTGGAGGGACAGGACATGGAGCTATTAGGTAGGGGAGATGCTTCATTAGCTGTAGGACTTCTCATAGAAAAGAGGCTGGATGTTGAGGGCCATAGGGCATTCAGAGGCACAAGCCTTGCTTCTCCAGGATGGGGGATGTGAAAGCCCAGTTACAGAGCAGCTTTGGAACTTGTGGTGGACCACGACCCTCCCCTCTTCCCACATCTCCAGTTTTCCCCAGGTATCTGAATTCCTATCAAGAGACAACTTTTCTTTGGGAGTTGAGATGAGAGAGGGCTAACTGTGTAATTTCACAATTGTCATTTGATGGCAGAATCACAAATCTGGGTTGGAGCCACCACAGAAGGGGAGTGAGGCAGGGGCATCCTCTGAGCATCTTGGCTGTAGGATAAGCGTTAGTGGGAAAACAGTTTCACCCATTAGCACCAAGTGTGTTTCCGAACACAGCTTCTGAAGACAGGAGTGTGACACTGAGGGGAGGTAAGGTAGAGGGTCTATAAATAGGCCCATTGATTTTAAAAGGCAAACTGCCTTCCTCATGAGGTTTTCTCTGACAGAGCTGAGAGACAGAAGGGGATGGGAAGCTGCTATGCTGATAGGTCATAGGGAAGAATGTGAGGCTCAGCATGCTCATAGGAGGTCAGGGTGACCCAGTCTCTAAGGAACCCCACCATTCCTAAACGAAGCAAAAATGGGGACTACCATCATGGGTGAGTTAGGACCTAGCCAACTTGTGGCTGGCTACATGGTGCTCAGAGGTGCTCCTGACACAAGGTGTCCCAGACTAGGCCATTCTTTCAGAAAGCTGGGAGCTGTGGCTTCCCAAGAATTCCATTATTTTGCACAGGTACAGTGGTGACACGGAGTGGGCCCGCCTCATTCCTTCTTGCTCATAGGATTAGGGTTCCAATCATGGGTTTAGAGCTAGAAAGGATCTTCGAGGTCATTTTATCCAACACTCTCATTTTACAAAGGTGAGGAAAATGAGTCCCGGTGAGATGAGGTGATTTGCCCAAGGTCACATAATTAATAAATAGCAGAGCTGGGATTCAAATCCAGATCCCCTGACTCTATGGTGTTTTTGTTGTCCAGTTGTTTCAGTTGTGTCTGACTCTTTGTGACCCCGTGTGGGGTTTTCTTGGCAAAGATACCAGAGTGGTTTGCTATTTCCTTCTCCAGCCCATTTTACAGATGAGGAAACTGAGGCAAACAGGGTTAAGTGATTTGCTCAGGGTCACCTAGATAGTGAGAGTCTGAGGCTGGATTTAAACTCAGGTCGTCCTGACTCCAGACCTGGTGCTCTATGGTGGCACCTGGCTGCCCCCAGACTCTGTGAGTGCAAATATAATGTTCTTTCTTCCCTACTACACTGTTGATGCAGTGTATATGTGTGTGTGTTTGTGTGTGTATCTATGTGTGCATATGTGTGTGTGTTGGGGTGTGCAGGGTGCAGTAGGGAGTAGTACTATGGTGTGCTGTGTGGAAGAGGAGCATTCTTTGCCAGGAGCACAGAAGGGAGCGAGATCTTAACCAGGTTGGTGTCTGGGCAACTAAGCAAGCAGTCAGTCTTAATGGACTTAGCTCTTGGACATGAGAGTTTAATGTCAATTACAACAACACCCGCAGTTCAATGCCCTAAGTCCAATTTTTGCACTATCTTTTCTATCATTGTTAATATACCCAGAGATAAAGGAGACAGAGCATACTATCCAGCCTACAAGCCTGAATCAACCCAATCTGGTGTGACCCTTGGTCTAGGGTTAGGAATCAGAGGCATCCAGTAGCTTTGACAGTCAGATACAGAAGGAGCTTTTTTATCCCCAAACCCTTGAACGCTGAGGAGCCTGGACAGGCCTGGGCTCTACTGAGAATGTGGCTGCTTAATTCTGCTACTGTTTTCCTTAAGAAAAAACTCTCTTCACCCACCACTTTTTAGAATACCCATCATATGAGAAGCTGTTTGATATAGTGGCTGGCAAGCTAGCCTGGAAACCAAGTTAGCTGGGATTTAAGTCCCACTAATCACCCCCATGGGCTGTGTGATTCTGGGTCAGTGTCTTAACCTCTCAGGTGCTGATTAGTCTTCTCATGAGCGTTCTTGATAACAGCGAAATAAGTCTAGGGCCTGAACCAGATGAACCATTTTATAGTATTTTCTTGAGCATTATCCTTGCTTAAGCAAAGTAATAGAAGTGGGAAGATGGGAAGGCGGTAGAGGAGAGAATGGAGGGTGAGAAGGTGGTGGAGGGAAGTTAATCAAAGCAGAAGAAAATAATGAGGACATTCCTTTGCAAAAAATGAACCCCATGGTGAGTCTGGCAGGACGTATGAGACTATGGCTGCTGGTCAAACCTATACCCATCAGACTACATGTGGACTACTCTGCTTGATTCTGGGTCCTGCATTGGAGGAGGAGCATTGACAAACATTCATTCTAGTGTCATCCCTCTGGTAATTATTTCGCTGTTAGTTATTGCCTGTTTGTCCTGTATTTGGCTTGCTTTGTATGTATTTGTTTGCATGTTGTCTCCTCCATTAGACTGTAAGCTCCTTGAGGGAAGAGACTGGTTGCTTTTTTTTTTGCCTCTTTTTGTGTCCCCAGAGCACATAGTAGGCACTTAAGAAATCTTTTGATAGTGTAGACAGATGAGGGTAAACAGGAAGGGCAGGGGGCCTTGCAACTCCATCACATGAAAAACCGGTTGAAATGCATATTGAAGGAAGGACTCCTAAGTTGGGATTTTATGACTCATCTTGGCCCAGGGTCATAGATTGAGAACATTGACAGATCATTCTGTCCAACTTCCCCCTCCTGCCAGTTTTGCAAATGTGGAAACTGGGGCTTAGAGGTTTGAGTTGCCAAAATCACAAAGCTGACCAGAAGCTGGATAGAGACTAGGACCCAGTGTCCTGAACTCCTGGCCTAGGGCTATTTCTGCTATAGCAGGTGGGTTTTCACTTCCTTATGCACCAAAACAACTCTGTCTCCTATACCCTGGGCTAACAATCTGTGAAGGCCTTGCCGAAGCTTCAAGATGCTGTGAGTGGGCTTTGCCGCCACGTGGAATATCTGAGCAGCTAGGACAACTGACTGGAATTTGGCACTTAGAGACAGCAGAGGTATCTGCCCATGGATTCCACCAGTCAGGCCATGGAGCCTAGAGATTTTTGGGAAGGGTTCAATGGCGAGCAAATGCTAACTGCTGATGCACATTTACAAAGCTGTGGAGCAGTGGATAGTGCACCGGGCCTGGTATCAGGAAGACCTGAGTTCAACTATGGCCCCAGACACTTAGTAACTGTGTGACCCTGGGCAAGTCACTTAACCTCTGTTTGTCTCAGTTTTCTCATCTGTAAGATGAGGATAATAATAGCACCCACCTCCCAGGGCTGTTGTGAGAATCCTGTGAGATAAAAATTGGAAAGCGTTTAGCACAGTGCCTGGCACATAGTAAGCGCTATATAAAGGTTAGCTCTTGTTATTATTGTCACAAAGTTATGTGCCCAGACAACCATTTGCATATCAGATGATGTTCTTTTCAGACGCCTTAGTTAGAAAATGTCATCTGGATTTTGATTTCCTCTTGGCTGGATGGAAAGCCCCATCAGTGCTAGGGTTTAGACAAGGTTTTACAGGCCATGACTACATGAGAGATTTAATGTTACGGAGCCAAAGGATGTTTAAAGGAAGGATCAATAGAAGCAGGTCGTGAATTGCCTCCCATTGCCCTAGGCGAGGGCTTTGTAACCCGTGGTTCATCCACTTATAATTTTTAATAATTTGATACTTCTATTTCAATATAATTGCTTCCTTTATTATTTATCCTATGAATTTTATTTCATGCCGTTAGAAACATTATTCTGAGAAGAGCCCCACAGGCTTCATCAGACTTTTGCCACAGAGGTCCATGACACAAGAAAGCTTAAGACCCTCTGCCCTAGAGAACCCCACAGAAGGTCCTGAATTGGGGGCCCAATCATCCATGTGGAGGACCCTGGACCCCAAATTCTTTATTACGGGAGAAATCAAAACCCCTGTCAACTGGGACATAGGGGGCAGTCAGGACAGAGACCCCATACTCTGTGGATGATTTGATGTTCTGGGGTGGAAGGGATCGTAATCTGTAACAATGCCCTTGTGATGTTGTAGGAAAAGTTACCCCAAGGGGAGGTAGAAGTCTAGCAAGAACTTGTGATAAGAGAAATATAGCTTACTGTATATCTGGTAGGGGTCTATAGGAGCCGAGAGAACCTAATCCCTGGTAAAGGGTGGCTTGTGCTGGACTCCTCACTCTCCCCCCACATATTCAATCAGTGACAGACATTGCCGTTTCTCCCCTCACATCTTTTTCCATCTGACCCCTGCTCACACCAGGACCATCTGGGCTCAGGCCCTTGTCACCTGGGTTCTTTTTACAGCCTCCTAATGGTCTCTCTACCTCATGTCACTCTCCACCCTGGCCCATCCTACGCATGGACACTAAAGTGATTTTTCACAAAGGCACATCTGACCATGTAACTCCCCTACTCAATCAACACCAGTAGCTTCCCAGTACATCCAGGATAAAATAGAAATGCCTTTTTAGCTTTTAAAACCCTTTATAACCTGGCCCCAAACTATCTTTGCAGCCTCATTACACATTATTCCCCTTCCTGCATTCTTTAGCCCAGCCAAATTGATCTTCTCTCCCATTAACTCCTACCTCCAGTGCATTGGCCATCCCATGAATGTGGAATGTGCCTTCCTTCCATCTTCCCCATGGAGTCCTTCTCTTGCTTTAAGATGAGGCTTGAGTGTTAGGCAGCTAGGTGGCACATTGGATAGAGCTCTGGCCCTGGAGTCAGGAGGACCTGAGTTCCAATTCAGCCTCAAACACTTGACACTTACTAGCTGTGTGACCCTGGGCCGGTCACTTAACCCTGAGTGCCTCCCCCTCAAAAAAAGAGGTAACTTGAGTGCCATGTTCTATGTGAACCTTTTCCTGTTGCTCCCCAACAGCTAGTGCCTTCCCTCCCTCCCTTGCTACCTTTTATTAAATACTATAAATACGTTTGTATTAATTTTCTGTATGCTTTATACATTTACATATGTATATGTCTTCCTCATTAGAATGAAAGCTGCTTTCCAGTAGGGATCAGTTCATTCTCTGTATTTATATCCCCAAGACTTAGCAGAGCGTCTGGCACAAAGTCAGTCCTTAATTAGTGCTTGTTGACAGATTGATTGAATTCAAGGACTGAGTACGTGCCTATCATAGAGCTATTTGGAGTTAGCTCAATAATACTACTGACACGCCCATAGGTAGGAGCAGGGATTTGGGAGAGGAAGGGGTACTGAGCTGGGTTCTACAATAAGAGGAAAGCTAGGAGAGAGGAATAGTTTGGCAGCTAGGTGGTACAGTGTATAGAGTGCTAACCTTGGTGTCAGGAAGACCTGAGTTCAAATCCTGCCTCAGACCCTCAAAAGCTATGTGACCCACTGTGGGCAAATCACTTCATTGCTCTCAGCCTTGGTTTTCTCATCTGTAAAATGGGGAAAATAATAATACCTTCCTCACAGGGTTGTTGTGAAGGTCAACTGATGCTACATAAAAGCGATTTATTGTTCTTATATGTATCTAATACTATAAATATACATTATAATTTTGACACATTCTGTATATTATGTGATAATATACAATATAAATATGTAATCTATTATATAATAATATAATAAAAGTAATATTATGTATCAAGAAGGTCATAAGACATCTAGGTTCTATCCACAAAGTTGCTTATTGACTTCATTACTTTGAATAAATCAACTTCTCCATACTTCATTTTCCCTATCTGGTTTATTATTAATGATAATAAAGGCAATGTGGTCTAATAAATCTTAAGTCAGGAGGCCTTGGGTTCAAATCTTGCCTCTGACTCTAGCTGTGTTACTCTAGGCAAGTCACTTAACCTTTATTGGCCTCAGTTTCCATGTCAATAAAATGGAAATAAAAACGGCAGCTAACTCACCAGACTGTTGATGAGGCTTAAATGAGATAATTAATGTAAAGCACTTTATAAACTTTGAAGTGTTACATAAGGAGCAGCTAAGTGGCACAATGGATAGAGCAGCAGCCCAGGAGTCAGGAGGACCTGAATTCAAATGTGGCCTCAGACACTTATTAGCTGTGTGACCCTGGGCAAGTCACTTAACCCTGATTGCCTCCAAAACAAAAATGTAAAGTGTTATATAAATGTCAGATATTATTATAAGTCACATATAATGTTTCAAGATTTAGAAATATATTTTTCGTAACTCTTGGAAAAAGGCAATGTTATTATCAGGCACAGGGCATAGAGCTCATGACTTGGAGTCAGAAAGATGTGACTTGCCTCTGACAATGCCTAGTTGTCTTTCCACTGCACGCTGGTGGTTGTCAACTCCTTATCTACACAGACAACACAAATATAAGTACTGTAACCAGATCATTTTAGGATCTTTTTATTTTTATTTTTTGAGGCAGTTGGGGTTAAGTGACTTGCCCAGGGTCACACAGCTAGCAGGTGTCTGAGGCTGGATTTGAAGTTAAGTCCTCCTGACTCCAGGGCCAGTGTTGGGGTTTAACTCTGTATGTGTGTGTGTGTGTGTGTGTGTGTGTGTGTGTGTGTGTGTGTACACTTGATATCTGTTGACTCTTTAGCCTGTGGGCCATAATAGCCAATTTCTTTCAGTTGATTTGACCAGCATTGACAGAAAGGATAGCCAGCGAGAGATGGCCAGCAGAGAGAAGGTCAAGTCTCTTGCTGCCTTGTTTCTGAAGAAGGTTCGAGACTTTGATGACTTCTTGTGGAGAGCTGGGGAAAGTGTGCTGAATGTGTCGGAGGAGCCAAGGTACGGCGGATGTCTGGCAGAGAAGGGCCCCTGACTTGTTTGTTGGAGGCAGTTGCTGGAAACAAAGACCCTGACCCTGCTCTCTGCTTTCTGACAGATCTCACATCATTTCAGAGAAGACCATTAACGTATCATCACCTTCTTACCACCAGCTACCAGGATCAATGCAACAGTTCACCATTCTAATTCGGTAATTCAAAGACTTCTGAAGTTGATTTTAAGAGGAAAATTGCATTTAAGCATTTTGATGGTGGCCAGTCAATAAACAATTTTTAAGCACCTATATGTGCCAAGCACTGTGCCCAGAGGTAAGTTCTAATTGTGATCCCACACTAAACAACAATAGGCCCATCTATCTTGTGTTTCTGAAGAAAGTGGAGTTCACCGGAAATTCACTTCAACTCAGCAAATACTCATTAAGGGACTACTGTGTGCAGAGCACTATACTGAGCTATGGAGGAGGTATTAATCTTAGATAATAATTAGATGTAATACCTGCCCTCTTGGAGCTTCTGATCTAGAAAGGAGCTAAGATACATGCTGCATTCCTCCCATCAGAATGCAAGCTCATTGGAGGCGTGACTATTTTGTCTTTGTATCTCCAGTGCCTAGAAATGTGCATTGCATATAGTAGGTGCTTAATAAATGCTGGCTGACTTAAGATAAATAACTATAATAATACAAAACAACCCCTGATCAGCACATGACAGGCAGGATGCTCTCTGTCAGGTTACTGGCAGGGAAGGTGATCACCCCCCCACTGCTGCTAATTTGGTGTTATGCTTCTTAAGCCGACAGATTTCCAATGACTTCAGGGACCTGCCGACATTGCTGATCAATGGGTTAGAGGCCCTTCTGATGTCCATGATAATTGGATTTCTGTATTATGGCCATGGAGAAATCCAGCACTCCTATATGGACATGGCTGCTCTCCTGTTCCTGATTGGGTCTCTGGTTCCCTTCCCAGTGATTCTGCATGTTATTGCAAAATGTAAGTGCCGTGTTAGTTCTGACTATTGCTAAATCCTGAAAATAACTCAAAAACGGGAAAATGTCATTCATTTGGAATTTACTGGGTTCAGTATTTGTGACACTTTGGGCTGGGCTGGCCAGAAGTATACCTTTCTTGGACTTATAAAGAAGAGGTTCACTAAGTAATTGAATAGCAATTACAAGGGGCATAAATAGCCTACAGTAACTTCTTTCCTTGAAGCAGGCTTTTAATTTAATTCTGAAACAGCTACTATGTACAATGTAAAGATGAAAAAAAGGACCAGTCCCTAACCACATGGAGCTTACATTTTACTGGGACTTGGGCATTTTACTGGGCAATACTTAGTAACTGGAAAGCTAGGTTGGGGATGAGTTGTGAAAGGCTTTAAAAGTCAAACAGAGAAGTCATTGTTTTATGGTCAAAATAAGGGCTGTACTCAAAAGGTAAATGAGTTACATTTTTTTAAAAGTCTGTAATTTAGTTTTTCCCTAATTGGATTAGATGTTTCCCTGGCCCAAAGCCTTTCTTGGTCATTACACAATAGATGAGTGTTCAAATCAATTCCACCATCCATTAAGTACTCACTGTATGCAGGGCACTGTGCTGAGTGACAGGGTTTACAAAGACCAAACAAGAAAGTTTCTTCCTTAAAGCAATCCACTTTCTATTTAGGAGATATAATTTGTGTAGACAGGTTAAGACTGATCATCTGAGAAGGGAAAAAGGACTGATATCTGTTGACTCAAGGAAAGGCTTTGGGAGAGAAGGCAGAGGAGCTGGGTGGGCCATGAAAGAAGTGATAAATTGTACGAATTAAAGTGAGGCAGGCTCAGAGCCCAGAGGGGCAGCTCGAGGCCTGCAGGGGTTGGGCAAAACCTCGGAGGTGGGAGTTATTCTGTTCAGGGAGCAGCCAGCTGGCCAGTCTGGCTAGACCAGACCCTTCCGTAGTGAGCTCTACATTACATAAACAAACAAACACAATGTGGCTCAAGGCCACCAAGATAACTATTAGCTATATATATACAGGGTAGTGCAGCAGAAAGTCAGGACTCTGATTCAAGAATGATTCTGAATAAACAGATGTGTGAAGCGGAGCAAATTATTGTCCCCCCTGCCCTAGACCTCAGTTTCTTTATTTGGAAAATCAATCAGTTGAAAACATTTATTAAACATCTACTTTGTGATAGGCAATGTTGGAGATAGAAAGGAAGGGAACAATTAATCCTTCCTTAACTTCAAAGAGCCTATATTCTGTGCGTATATGTGTGTGTGTGACATACATTATCTATCATATATTATATATACATTCTTTGGGGATAATATATGTCACACACACACACACACACACACACACACACACACACACACACACACATATATATATATTCTGTGGGGAAGATAACATTATATGTATATATAATGTATCCATATATATTCTAGAACATATATACATAATATGCATATATATACACATACATTATAGATATATAATAAACACAATGTGTATATATACATATACACATACATCCTATACACATAAAATGTATATAATATGAATATGTTAATCAGTGAAATTTATTAAGCACCTACTATGTTCCAGACACTGTGCTAAGTGCTAGGGATACAAAAAGAGGCAAAAGACAGTCCCTGCCCTCGTGGAGTTTACATTCTAATGAGGGAGACAACATGGAAGCAAATACATATATAACAAATTATGTACAGGATAAACAGGAAATAATTAACAGAGGGAAGGCACAGGAAATAGAAGGGGGTCAGGGAAGGTTTCTACTAAAGATGGGATTTTGGTTGGGACTTGAAGGAAGTTGGAGACTTAGTAGTCAGAGTGGAAGAGGCAGAATGTTCCTGGCATGGGGGACAGCCAGAGAGAAGGCTCAAAGACTAAGTCGAGAGATGGAGTGTCTTGTTTATGGAATAGCCAAGATGCCATATAGGTCATATGTCATATGTGTATGTAAAGGTATATACACATTATGCGTACATCATATAAAGTGTGTATAGGCATGCATACATGTATACACCATGTAAAATATACAGTGCGTGTTCATTATAAACACGAATGTATACAAACTATATCACATGCAATGTATGTATACAATGTGTGTTTATGTACACATTATATACATGTTATCTTCCTCATAAAATGTAGATATTTAGATACATACATATACATATAATGTGTATATCCACGATTGCTATCTTCCCCATAGAATGCAGAGTATAGAATAATGTTATCCTTCCCATATAATATATATGTATGTATGTATGTATGTATATGCGTGGAATGAACACAAGCAGAATAGATGCAAAATAAATACAAGGCAGTTAAATACAAGTTAGGGATGCAATCAGAAGTTGGGAGGATCAGGAAATCTTTGTGTGCTTGAGCTGTGTCTGGCAGGAAGTTGGGCATCTGTAAGAAAGAAGTGATGAGGGAGTGCATTCCAAAAATGGGGAATAGCCAATGTCAACACACCAAGCTGACAGACTGAATGTCAAGTGTGAGGAACAAAGAGAAGTCCAGTTTGGCTAGGATAGAGAATATATGGGAAGGGGAATAGATAACTGAAAAGGTAGGTTGTGGCCCTTACATTTATATATCACAGTTGTCAAGGGCTTTAAAAGTCAAACAGAAACGTTACTATTGTCCTAGAGGCAGTAGGGGGCCAGTGGAGTTTATTGAGTAGGGTAGTGAGATGCTCAGATTTGCATTTAAGAAACATCACTTTGGCAGCTAGCTGTTATGGGGAATAGATAGGAGTGGTGTAAAGACTTGAGTCCACAGTAATAATCCATGCCAGAGGAGGCAAGGACCTGAATTATGGTGGTAGCTATGCAAGCAGACAAAAGGGGATGGATGGGGGAGAAGATGGGGAGGCAGAATCAGCCATACTTGGTAACTCAATGGCTACGTGGGGTAAGGGGGAGTAAGGCACCAAGAATAACGCTGAGCTTATAGAACTGGGAGACTGGAGGAATGGTGGTGTCTCAAAAAAAAACAGGAAAGTTTGGTAGAGGGGGAGGGATATTCTCTTGGGGAAAGGGGAAAAATTAAGGGTTATACCAGATGATATTTTTGAAATGAGAATTTTAAATGATCAAGAATTGTGAAAAATGCTACATATTAATGTGAGAAATGCAGATTAAAACAACTGAGGTTTCACCTTATACATAGCAAATTAGCATAAATAAGATGACAGAAAACACAGATAAGATGATAAAAAAAATCTGAATAGCCAAGGTTAGAGAACAGTAAAAGGACAGGCACATTAGTACACTGTTATTAGACCTGTGGATTGGTCCCAACATTGGAACTGCTCTATGTAAGAGAAGTGACTGGACTGTTTGGAGTCTTTGACCCAGTGACCTTACTATAGGACACACATTACAAGGAAGTTAAAAATGTAGAGTAAACTAAACAGAACTAGGAGAACTGTATACATGATGACTTTATGCTTAGTATAAATCAAAACTAAAAGGAGGCCAAACTTTGAGTAATGTAATAACTAACCTTTGTCCCAGAGAACCAATCATGAATAAATATATCTCCTTTCTCTCAGCATAGATGTGAGGAAGTAAGCATGCCTGGAGACCTTCCACATGCCAGGCATTCTTCTAGGGAAAGAGAAAAGCGGAACATTCCATTCTGGCTTCAAAGACTACATTCTACCAGGGCAGCTGTGGAAGGAGATACAAGTTACATACAAGTAACATAGAAGTTACAGGAGAGGGTAACATGCAAGTGTAACACACAAGTTCGCTACCTTGTTTTTTCATGTTTTTATTTGTTACAAGGGAAGGTTCAATGGGGAGTGTGCTGTGGGAGCATATCTGTAAATGACATTAATGTAAAAACAAGAGATCGTCAAAATATCTAAAAATGAAATCATCTTATTTTAGTTGCAGTAAAGGCTATTTCCAGAGACACCAATAAATATCAGTAACTTTGAACACTTTATTCTATATGAACCTCATTTTTCTTTTTCCTTTAGGTCATTCTGAAAGGGCAATGCTTTATCATGAACTTGAAGATGGGATGTATTCTGCTGGCCCATATTTCTTTGCTAAGGTAACCCATTTCTAGGTGTATATCAGTGTGTCTGCCTACATATAAAGTGGGCTAGATTAATGTCTGTATCATATTGTTGTTTCAGTTGTGTCTGACATTTGGGGTTTTGTTGGCAATGATACTAGAGTGGTTTATCATCTTCTCTAGCTCATTTTGCAGATGGGGAAACTGAGGCATACAGAGTTAAGTGACTCACCCAGAGTCACACAGCTAGTATCTGAGGTCAGATTTTAATTCAGGAAGGTGTCTTCCTGATTCTAAGCCTAGTACTCTATCCACTGTACCGCTTAGTTGCCTCAATGTTTTATAGAAATTACATTAATGTTATTTTTACTGACCTAGGACAAAAATATGTGGAACCAAATAGCAAAGCGAATGTGTTATAACCTATTGTACACTTTGGAGAAGTATTGTCCCTCACAATTCAATTAAATCCAGCAAAAGCATCCAAGGACCTATTATGATTAAGGCATTGTGTTAAGTAAGTACTGGGGATAGATACTAAGACAGAAACAAAATGACTCCTGTCATCAAGGACCTTGTATTCTCATGGAATTGAATTTTCAGCAGCTACAGAAAGGATGGCTCAAAAAAGGAGTCTTTGCAGAGTAGGGCATTTCTTTTCTTTTTCTTTCTTTCTCTTTTCTTTTTCTTTTTTTAAGGCTATATAGTAAAACCTTCTTAACTTGAACTGGCTGAGGGGTAAGGAGAAGAGAGAAGGCCTGGCTAAACTAGAAGACATTTTTTCCAATTAATATTGTTTTAATTATTTTCATTTGTGTCATTCTATTTACCCAGTAGAGCATAAGCTCTGAAGGCAGACTGTTTCTTTTGCACAGTGCCTGACAGAGAATGCTCATTGGACTGAATTGAATTGTGAAACTACAAGCATAGCAGATGCTTGATGAGTTGGTTTTATTGGAATCGGGTTACCTGTGTGACCAGGCAGAAATGTCATTTGGGATGGATAAGAAAAATGTGCAATCAGATTTTGAAAAGCCCTGAACCAGGGCTATACTGGCCTCTGGTTGACACTGCAATCACATTACATGTGTGTGTGTGTGTGTGTGTGTGTATATATATATATACATATACATACATACATACACACACACACACACATATATATACATATACATACACACACACACACACACACATATATATATACATATACATACACACACACACACAACACACACACACACACACACACACACACACACACACACACACACACATATATATTAAGGGAAATGCTTTTTAGAGAATGCAGACTTCCCTCTTGACCTTTTACTTAATTCATTTACTTAGAGGCAACAGTTCACTCAATTCCACAAGCATTTATTACGGCACCAGGCATTGTGATGAGCTGCTAGGGATACAAAGAAAGCAAAAAACACAGCCCCTCTCCTTCAAGGAGCTTACATTCAAATGGGAGAGACAGCATGATGGAGGGTGCAAAGATGAATTTTAGCCCAGGCTGTAAGTCAACAAGTGAAAAAGCATTTGCTCATTATGTGCTGGGCACTGTGCTAAGTGTTGGGAGTACAAGTACAAGCAGAAAGAAAGACAGCTCCTGCCCTCAAGACACATACGTTTTAATAGTGGAAGACAACCAATGAAAAGAAGCTGAAGGGCAGGAGGAAGGGCACCCCTTTGCAGGTAAGTTGGAAAAAGAAGAGTGGGGAGTTAAGAACAGAGGCTAGAGAGGAAGAAGTGAACACAACTGGCCTGGGTGCTTCCTTAAAACAGAAATTCTGGGAGTGAATGACCAGAAGAAGGGCTAAAAGTAAGGGTGGAGGGATTTTCCAAGGAAAGGTTTAATGATCACAAATGGGAAGGAAAGAAAGGGAAAGGAATAATCATTTATATAGTACCTACTGTGTACCACATTGTGATAAGTGCTGTTAGAAATATCTCATTTGATCCTCACACCTGTCCTATGAGGTGGGTGTTATTATCCCCATTTTACAGTTGAGGAAACTGAGGCAAAAGAGATTTGTGACTTGCCTAGGATCAACTAGCTAGGAAATGTCCAAATTAGTAAAGTTTGGATAGCAAGAGGTATTGAGAGTGAACAGGAAACCTCTCCACTTTATGGTTCAGAATCGCATACTATAAAATGATATAAGAATGAGTCTGGTTTACTCTTGTAAATCCTTGTGAATTGTTTCCTCTAATTTTTTTTTTCCTCCCTAAAGACAAAGAGGATCCACACTGTTTTAAACTCACAGTCCTTTTTCTCATCAGGTTTTAGGAGAGATTCCAGAGCACTGTACTTATGTGGTCATTTATGGGATTCCTATCTATTGGCTAGCAAACCTGCGGCCAGAGCCAAACCATTTCATGCTGAGTTTCTTGCTGATGTGGCTTGTGGTCTACTGCAATCGGACCATGGCGCTGTGGTGTGCGGCCTCGCTGCCAACTCTCCACCTGTCCTACTTCATGGTCAACGCTCTGTTCAACTCTTTTTACCTAGCAGGGGGCTTTATAATAAGCATAGAAAACCTATGGACAGGTAAGGCGGCAACTGTGGTCTCCCCTCTCAAAACAAAGGCAGGTGGGACTTCTAGTTACCTTGTACTTTGATCCCCAGGCTGATAGTTTATAGACTGTAATCCAAACAAATGGGGATCCTTTTCCAGCACTGTGCAGGAGGACACAGTGAGCCTATGAGGGCTCAGACTCCAATTAGTCTGCCACTCACTGCCTGTGTAATCTCAGGCAATAACAAACATCTCTGGTCTCAGGTTCCTCATGATTTCTGTGGTTCCTTCCAGCTCTAGATGAAATCATATGAGCTGCCCACTTTTACAGGTTCTGCTTTAAGGAACAAGTATTGACGGATTTTCCTACTTGAACCAAGAGGGCTTTCCCATGTTTCTTCACTCAGTTTTCTCATTGCCACTGAAATGACTACTTTGACTAGCGAGGGAATTCACAAAGTGTTTATTGATCTACTTTCCTGGTGGGATTTTGTTCTGGCCTTAAAAATCTCTAAGGAAGTGCTTATCAAGCCTAATGGTTCATTTTTCATTCTCAGTACCAGCTTGGATCTCCAAAGTATCCCCTCTCCGATGGTGCTATGAAGGATTAATGCAGATTCAATTTAATGGACTCACTTACATGATGCAGTTTGGAAACATTACCATCCCAGTAGAAGGAGACCGTGTGAGTGATATATATGTATACAACACACACACACACACACACATATATATATATACACACACACATATATATATATACATATATATATATGTATATATATATAGTATTTTAACTTTTTTTAAACAAAGCTAAAAAAATTCGTTTTGCTTTAAAAAGATGATTGCAATAACATGTCTGTTTTTAACCACAGATAGTTGATGCTCTGGATCTGAATTCATACCCATTGTATGCTAGCTATGCTGTAATTGCTGGCATTAGTATTGTCTTCGTTGTCTTCTACTACTTGTCCCTACGGTTTATCAAGCAGAAATCAAGCCAAGATTGGTGATAAAAGGTTGAATACTTGGCGTGTGCTGTAGGTTATGGCGCAGACTTGAGTTACGCCACTAACTCTACTCTCCACTGAGAAGTCTCTCCCTCAAGATTCCTACTGGATGAAGAGCAGCCCAGAGACTTACCCATCCAAAGCACTGATCCCCATCCTCTGGACCATAAGATGATGCAGTGGTACTTGCAAGCCACAGGATGGCAGCAGAATAAAGACAGTTGAAAGTCAATTTCAAGTCTTTGGACTGATATCCTGTTTATTGGAGCATCAATGTGTCTGTTTGATGGAGCTTACAAAATTAGCTTTATTTTTCTCTGGGCCCGTGTATTTATATAGGTACCAGACGTGGACAAATTACATCTGTATAGGTTCCTCCTATTATTTTGAAACATAAGATAGGGCCAAGTGGAAACCTAGAAAAGAAGATATTATGCATATGCAGTTTCCCTCCTAGAAATAATCTTCAGGGTAAAGAAAATCTGTCTTATAAAACATATCACTGAAAAGCTGTGACCTGAGAGGGGTGATAGTCTCCCAGTGATTTAACTGAAGGATGTAGGTAAAAGAGTATGTATGTAGCAAAGGCAGCAGCTAAGCCCATGCCACCAAGTCCTATATAAGGGCTTTGGGGGTTAGAGCTTACAAATGAAGAGTGCTGGCTTTGGAATCAAAGAATATGGGTTCAAATCCTGACTGCCACTTTGGGTGTGCCCTTGGGCAAGTCCTTTCCCACTCTGGGCATGTTTGGTCTCTGATCTATATCAGTCCCTTCCATTTCTAAATATCTGTGATCCTGTAATACACTGTAGGATTCTCCCTGCCCCATGGGCAATTCCATTTTACTTATGTGGAACACCTTATTCCCCAACAATGCCAGATAAATATGAAGTCCCTGAACACAAATAAGTAGGTAGGTGGCTAAATGGTCCAGTGGAGGATGGAATTCTAGGCTTGGAATAAGCAAGACCTGAATTCAAATCCAGCCCCTATAAAATGGGGATTATGACAGTACCTACCAACCAGGGTGGTTGTGATCAAGCAAGCAATTTATAAGCAGTACATAAATGTATTACACACAGAAAAGGGTAGTCATGTGAAAACGTCCCCAGCCACAAGAGCTGGCTCCCATTTTACTGAATATGGAAGCATAAACTAGTGTGCCCAGAGTAAATTTCCTAAGACATACCTTCAAACTGAATTCTTACCACACCCTGCAAGGTTAATCTGCTCAGGTATGTATGGGGTAGGGGCGGAGAATCACCTTCCCAAGTCAGTGCCCTCTTAGAATCACAGAATGTCAGAGGGGGAAGGAATCTTAGACGATATATCTAGTCTAATTCCCCCATTTTCCAAATGAAGAAACTGAAGCTGTGAAAAAAGATATGCCCAGGGCAGCTAGGTGGCAAAGTGGATAGAGCACCGGTCCTGAAGTAAGGAGGACGAGTTCAAATCCAAGGCCAAACACTTGACACTTACTAGCTGTGTGACCCTGGGCAAGTCACTTAACCCCCACTGCCCCCCCAAAAAAAGATATACCCAAGGTTGGTTTTGTCAGTGACCATCATGACTAGGTAGGTGCTGGTGCTGCAGGTCTGACCAAGCAGTTTTCTATGTCCTTTCTTCACTGTACCTCCAAGACAATCTCCCTGCCTTTTTTAAGGATGCTACCAGTGGCTAGGCATTAACTCCACGCTGTTCTTTTTCCTTATACTTTTTCTAACAGCTGCCATGGTTTTGGTAGTATCAGCAATGATACCTAAAATATACTTAAATTCACCTAACACATGTTACCATGGAACCCGGAGCTGATGTTTCACTGGGTCTTGAATTAGTCATTCTGATAGCAGCAGCTTAGAGCTCTATTTTTTTGTTGTTTGGAGCTTGACTTTTCTGGGCCTGAGCTGTCAGCAAAACCTGACTGAGAAAAATGGGCAGTTATGGCAAAATCACAGCCAGCATTTCGTCAGCGATCAAGCGTGGCCTGGAGAGGCGACTTGCTACCTGATGCATCAGTAAGTGTAAAAGGATGCTGGCCTGGGTCAATCAAACAATAAAGCAACCATCTTCTGTTGCTGAGATAAACATTTTGAACCTTCTCACAAAAACCGTCTGACTACGGGAGCTATATGTAAACAAGTGAAACAGAGATGAAATGATTGCCCTGTCCACCAGAATCAGAAAGCATCTGCGTCCAGCCAGAGCCAGCCCTGGTGTGCAAATAGCAGAAATGCACCAAACCCAGTGCTCTGAGACAATGCATTTTCATTTTTACCGGAGGACCAAAGAACAACAGTTCCCAGTGTTAACAATTATTAATTAAGGCAATAATATTTAAGTGGTAGGTTGAAATGTTAAAAAAAAAATCAACTCCTTTAAAGGCTGCTGTTAACACTGATCAGCTTTTCTGTGCAAGGCCATTTATGTTTTAGTTTATTTTGTACAAATGCCATCAAGCTGCAAAACTCTACCTTTTCCCTATTTCACAAAGCTACTTTTTTAAAGAGACTCTTGCTGAAACTACAAAATCATTCATTTTTGCTGGTTCCCCCATTAAGAAAGTGCAGCTCGTACTAGGAATACATTTTAAATTGGGTTTGTACTGCACAAGAAGGTTCGTGATCCTGGCTTCCAACTGCCCCCTGGCTCTGCTATTCTTTGGCTGGCAAATTATATACAGTGCGTGTGCGCATACACACACACACACACACACCCCCCCCAGCTGTGGTAAAACGGGAGAGGGGAGGAGGAGCAGAGTCCAATTTTATGCTACTCCACCTTCAGGAATATTGTGGGGAAATTGCTTCATAAATCTTAAAGTGTTCTAGAAATGGGAGATCTTATTATTCCCTCCTAGCTAGCTGCATTAGTCTTCCTCTAGAAGGCAGGAGGCCATTCAGCCAGGCCTGCAGTGTAGTAGACTGTGGTTTTAAATCCCAGTTAGCATCCCTTATAGACAGTACATTGATTCAAAGCTGAAAGGGCCCTCAGAAGCCATCTATCTAGGACCTTCCACTTCTCAGAAGAGGACAACGAAGCCCATAGATAGCAGCAACATTTTCTATTATGGGAAATGACAAGTGAACATAAACCCACGACTAGGAACGTGAGAGAGGGAGAAACAGAAATACAACTTGTAGGAGAACTGAGCAGTCCTTAAAAGGATGTGGGGAGTGATGGATGTGACCCTCAGTGCAACGGCACACAACCTGATGACTAATTCTCTGGTTTGCCAAACATGTGGCTAAAAGGAGGTCTATTGCCTCCTTCTGAGGATGGCTTCCTACTGGGAAAGGCTGATACACATTGTACTTATGGAATGGCTTAATTTGGTCAAATGCTGCAGTTCTCTTCAGATCAGGTTATTCCTTTCCTCTGTCAAAAAAAAAAAGGCTAAGTGACTATATTGGGTTTGATAATGCAACCATTTCCTATATTTGTACCAGGACTGCATTATGTGGGCTTTGTAATATGCTCAGTGCTGAAAGCATGATACATTTCTATTGGAAACACTCATGTGCACGACTAACAATAGAGAAGCTAAAAATTACCATAATTTTCATACCCCCTGCAGCTACCAGTTCAACATACACTATGGGATGTTGTTTTCACTTGCTGAATTTATGGGATTATTGGTCTGTCAGAAAGACACCAATATATAAATATGAAAACTGTAATCACACCTGAGCGAGGGTCCAAATGCCATGCAAGCCTACAACAGGCTTGAATAGTAGAGTGTAGCTGAAGATTGCACACTTCCATTTTCTAAGAGTTTATTTAACACAGAAGAATCTAGGTTATGAAACTTGGTGACTGCCTTAACCACCAGAACAAATCAGGTGTTCGAAAGCTGAGTGATTCCATCACTTGGGCCAGATAATGCTTCATAGATAATGCTCACAACCCTTCCACAGCAGTCTTTCATGAGTTATTTTTGCATTATTAACCAGCCAAACCAACCCCTACTGCCTGGTGATTCCCATTAAGTTACTGGATTAAACTGAATCCCTTTATAACACACTGGCTGTCAGGACACTGGAAATCACCTGGTTTAGGTGTAATTGTGTATAAAATCTTTTAGGGTACATAGATTCAGGGGGCACATTCTGACCTGGCATAAATTATAATCTGGTCTCCAGTCCTACTCACTTTTACAATAGAAGCTAGGCTTTGAAAAATTCCAGGAAAAAAACTTTTCCTTTTGGACTGCAAACCAACTGTTGGGGTCTTTGTTTTGGACACTGATATAAATGGTATTCTGAACTCACCCATCTCTACCCAAAGATGGGTTAGCATCCAATGGTGTAACGTTCATAAATACGATCAGTGCATTGAGGGTGCTTTTAAAGTATAAATGTCTACTTTATTCTTCCTGATATACAGGATTGTTGTATATGATAGCTAAGAACCTCCTAATTTTAACTAAATCATAAGATTCAGTAAGCTCATCTTCTCCATCTAAATATAACTTGGGGGATTTTTGTTTCCTCCTCTCAGACCTGAATGCTCTGAAAGCATTTTGATGTCTTTAAAATAATTTCCCTCTTTGCATCAAAATCACCAGAAAAGGAACAACACAGTAGACCTCAGTCCTGTAGTGACTGGTCTTAAGCTCAGATTCTTTTGTTGAGGGTTATGTTAATACATAAATGGGCTCTTAGCAAATACTTCCCCCATAACGGGTAAAACAAAAATAAAGTTACTCCTTGGTTTTTGATATGCACTATTTACTCACAATATTAACAGGGGGAAATTCTCCTTAAGCTCCAATACAAGAATCCACAATTACTTTGAAAGCACTCTCCTAACCCAAAGCTTATCCTGACACAATGCTGTTCTACATGAATATTTTTGCCTTTTCCTAAAACTTAGCTCAGAAAATTCACTTTGAAATGTACTTTGTGAAGATATTTTACATTTTTCTGGAATCTTAAATTTAAATTTATTCTAGCTTAGCTACTAGCATGCAATTGGAGAATTTATGGGAACTTAATACCTCTATGACACAAAGTACTATAATTAACCCCCTCCCCCTCAAAAAAGCCCAAACCACAACTGACTTTTCAGGGGAAACTATACAATAGTGTCATTACGTTGCTACAAAACTGAAAGGACTGGACACTCAGGGGATATGCATGAATCATACCATTGCCAGGCACTCCCTCTGGGGTCCAGCCCATCCCACAATTCTCTATGATTACATCTCTCCAAAGAGCACAGTCAAATAACAACTGTTGT